AGTTCTTGAAACGCTGTCACCTGCTGTTCAAAGTCTCTAATGTCAACATGTAAGTCAATATCATCATCCCAGGGTATGATGTCATGGAAAAGGTACGAGCCAATCAAAGATCCACCTGAAAGGACGTACCTCACATTTTGTTTCTTAAAAGCGCCATCTAGTGCATGTAACAACTCATACAGGTCAAAATACATTGAATCTGGCATCCGACGTGGTAATACTGAACAATTTGTAATGAACAATGGGTTCAATGATTTCTGTTGTACAAGGTCTTTCCTTAGCGTGAAGTTGTTCTTTCTCACTAAGTCTTTCTCTTTCACTTGGATGCTTTCCCTGCTTTCATCAAACTTGTTTTTGTTGATGTAAAACTTGGCAATGTTCATATGATTGTCCTTTAGTTTGTTTCTAGATAGATAGAGTCCAATCATTATAACAACAATTACACCAATCAATAGTCTTAATTTGGTCTTCATCTTGAATAATTTCTGAAGCTGACAGGCCTGTTACTTTTTGTAAATTTGTTATAGTATTTTTTACTTTCTGTTATTATTGAATGTAACAAAACAACATGTGAAAAGAGGGGAAGGTCATGTGATCAGTGTGATCAGTGTGGAACTTAAATCAATATTTTAATAACTAGCAAGTAAAATGTTGTATACGAGGGTTAATCAAGAAGTTCTCATAATATCACTCTAATTTCTTTAACAGCATGTGCAGCATAGAATGCCTTATTAATTCAGCTAAAAATATCTAGAAATGGTAGCCATATGCACACAATTTTAATATTTTGTGGTATTTGATGAAGTCTGAGATAAGAGTCATTAGTGGCACAATCGTTTTCATAGGTAATAAATCATTAATTCAATTCTCCATTATGCCGTTCGTTCTTTTATTGAGAAGGAACGAAAATATGTACCTAAAAAGCCCCGAAAAAGGACAAAACTTGATTGGTCCATATTTCCCTACGATGCATTTCGCGTAGCTATTTGCGTGACTCGAAAGTACTAAATCAAACTAATTACGCAATTTTGTTTTTATACCCGAAGGCTAAATAAAACAATGACACCATTGGAAATATTTTCTTTGTCAATACTTTAAGGGTCAGTATACCAAGTTTAATCAATAAAACCTTCTATAATGATCAACAATATTCAGAAACAAGTACTCTAGGTTTACTTTCGGACATTGAACCAATTGACCTAGGTAATAGCGAGGCATCTTCTCTGGTCAAATGTTCATTCGATTGTGGGTTTTCAAAGTACAGTAACTCTATAATGTAAATTGAAGATGAGTACTTTTATTCAGTTGTCGCATTGATGTTGCAGTTTGTAGTGCGGTAAGGATGGAAAGTCGAATGAAATTATTTTTTCCAATATGGCGATTATAGTCAACTGATCACATGACCTTCCCCTCTTTTCACATGTTGTTTTGTTACATTCAATAATAACAGAAAGTAAAAACAGCAATTGAAATATAACAATGTACAGCACTATATTTTTCAAACAAGATTAAATGAGATAACAAAGATACATAAGATATGGATTAATACATATGTCCAATCAATGTTCGCCTGTCTCTCATTGTTGATTTAATATCCTTGATGATCCTTGATGATCGTATGAGAATGTTCCAGAAGAGACCAAGTGTTTATGATACTTTTTTCTCCAGTCGGACATAGTGAGTGGTCGAACATATCGATTGAAAATAGTTATGAACATCCACATGCTAAACCAATGAGGGAAAAACAGGAAGGAAGTAAGAATTTGTTCCCCCCGAATTGCATCGTGAGTTATATTGTGTCCATATAAGGAAATACTTCCACATCTCCTTGTTTAAAGAGTGAACCGCGAATAGGGGATTCTTTATTATTATTATTATTATATCTTGGTTACCGCCATATTTGGCGAGCAATACCTCATTGGTATATTCCATATTTTACGCATTTTTACACTCGAAGACAGAGCCAGAAACCCCTCCTTGGAGGAGCCCTGTGTTCTTTTTTGTGCACAGGTACACAGACATACAGGTACACACCACAGCCTTTTATACGAGTCGTGAACCACTCAGTCAAACACCCAGAATTACATAACGCACAAACAAACTTGTCTGAACCGGGAATCGAACCCGGGGCCAAGCGATATTGGTAACCTTGCTCTGCCACTGAGCCATAGCGGGTGGTACACTCTTTTATTATCAACATGTTATAATTTTATCAATTTTTTGAGTTTTTGGCTAGTATGAACAAATGACAGAAATCATACTTCACCCTCAGTTATAATAAAAGAAGGCACAAGGTGAACAATATTGTACCTAAAACCATGGGCTTTCAATTATCTAGTTAAAAGCCCATGCTAAAACATAGCAGTGTGGACTTGATGACCCAGAAAAAGTGCCAAAAAGTTTATCAGTTCTAGAACTTCTCACCATGTAACATGAGTGACAATTTGAAGTAAATCCGTTACGTGGTTTTCCTGGAAATGCAATGAAAAGATTTCTCCAAAATCTTCCACGATGGATGCCAGAATCCAAGATGACAGCCGAAAAGTTAATCAGCAGTAGAACTTCTTACTATGTAACATGTGTGAAAATTTAAAGTAAATCCATCAAGTGGTTTTCCTGGAATCGCGATGACAAGATTTATCTAAAAACTTCCAAGATGGCCACCAGAATGCAAGATCGCTGCCGAAAAGTTAATCAGCTTTAGAACTTCTTACCATTGATCCATGTGTGAAATTTGAAGTAAATCCATCAAGTGGTTTTCCTGGAATCGCGATGACAAGATTGATCTAAAAACGTCCACGATGGCCACCAGAATGTAAGATGACTGCCGAAAAGTTAATCAGCTCTAGAACTTCTTACCATGATCCATGTGTGAAAATTTGAAGTAAATCTTTTAAGTCGTTTCCCTGGAATTTTGATGACAAGATTTCTCTTAAAACTTCCAAGATGGCCTCCAGAATGCAAAATGACCGCCCAAAAGTTTATAATCAGCTCTACAACTTCTTACTATGTAACATGTGTGAAAATTTGAAGTAAATCCGTCAAGTGTTTTTCCTGGAATTGTGATGACAAGAAAGTGAGACGCCGTGTGCCTGGCAAGCTGATGACAATATCGTACCTTTTTTTAGGTACGATAAAAACATAAATGATGTGTGTAAAATGTCAGCCATCAGGCCTGTAGCCAGGGTTTCTCTAGTGGGGTCTATATTTGGGGCATTTGCACACACGTAGCACAGCCTAAAAGATATTTCTGTCTTCATGGTCAGAAAATAGTTTTAATCTATAACTGTCTGAAATTATTTGCGATAACCTAAGTGGCCTTTTGTCTTAACAATGTTTCGAGATTACTTTAACGTCAAGTAATTTAAATTGTGATATTAGTATTCCATTTCATTCTGACACTTATCTTATTTTATTTAAGATTTCAATTTTTTAAAAACACAATTCAATGATATTGATCATTTCATCACTTTCAGTCTATGACACAAATCTTATTTATTTTGAGATTTAATTTTTTGTAACAAAATTATTTCATACAACTACTTTTTACAGTGACATGGCTTATTACAATGCAGGACACCTGAATTTATTTGTAAAGCTAGGAAATGGGCCAAAAGTGAATTTCGCGAGACAAAAATGGTGACCATTTTGAAAATAGGCGAGCTGTTGAACCAGGAGTCAAAGGGGAGTTTTCTGTCTTGATGTTGAACAAAAATAACTTAAAACAGGAATCTTATCGACAGAGGTTTTAAGGCAAATGGTCCAAAAGTGGATTTCGCAAGACAGATTGACAAATCAATTTTAACTAAAATAGCTGAAAATAAAAAAACAGATATAATTTTTTGCCGATTTATTGTAACAAAATTTCATACAACTACTCTTTACATTGACATTGATTTTAACAATGCAGGACACCTGAAGTTACTTGTAAAGCCAGAAAATGGGTCAAAAATGAATTTCGCGAGATGATAAAACATAACGCATTGGCTGAAATGAGAATCTTTGAAATCTCATTCACATTTTTGCTAATGATAGCATACTGTTTTATTTTTTGGATGCTTAAAGGTGACCATATTCAGTGGTAAACAATATTTCAGATTACAATAATAGCTTTTTAATCATTAAGGGTACTGTAAAAGTATGTAGTCTTTGAATCCTGAAAATGGACACATATAACATCATCTGATTCCATCATGTAGAATACAGAAAAATATATCAAAGAGTATGGTTAGTAGATTTAGACCTCTGTCTGTATAACAGTTAATCCTCTCCAACTACATTGTACTTGTGTTGTACTCACCTAATGACTCAGGCTGACTCTGCATTACAGTAATAGAGAGTGCCTCTGTCTGTATAACAGTTAATCCTCTCTAACTACATTGTACTTGTGTTGTACTCACCTAATGACTCAGGCTGACTCTGCATTACAGTAATAGAGAGTGCCTCTGTCTGTATAACAGTTAATCCTCTCTAACTACATTGTACTTGTGTTGTACTCACCTAAAGACTCTGGCTGACTCTGCATTACAGTCATGGAGAGTGCCTCTGTCTGTATAACAGTTAATCCTCTCTAACTACATTGTACTTGTGTTGTACTCACCTAAAGACTCTGGCTGACTCTGCATTACAGTCATAGAGAGTGCCTCTGTCTGTATAACAGTTAATCCCCTCCAACTACATTGCACTTGTGTTGTACTCACCTAAAGACTCTGGCTGACTCTGCATTACAGTCATGGAGAGTGCCTCTGTCTGTATAACAGTTAATCCTCTCTAACTACATTGTACTTGTGTTGTACTCACCCAAAGACTCTGGCTGACTCTGCATTACAGTAATAGAGAGTGCCTCTGTCTGTATAACAGTTAATCCTCTCTAACTACATTGTACTTGTGTTGTACTCACCTAAAGACTCTGGCTGACTCTGCATTACAGTCATGGAGAGTGCCTCTGTCTGTATAACAGTTAATCCTCTCTAACTACATTGTACTTGTGTTGTACTCACCTAAAGACTCTGGCTGACTCTGCATTACAGTCATAGAGAGTGCCTCTGTCTGTATAACAGTCGCTTCTTCTCCAACTACTTTGTTCTTCAGCACAACATCAGCAACATCCTTTACTACTTTCATTGTTGTATCTGTGATATCCTTAATCTGAAGGGAGTAAAAAAATGTCAGAAAACAAAAGCATAAAAATGTATATTATATATGTCCATCCATACATGTATTTGTACATTATAAAGTCATTCACATATTTGAAGATTTTCTTATGCATTGCATTTTCCTTATTATTGCTCCCTGCCATACTTAGGCAAGTGTCATGAGGATATGCCTTAGTCACATTTGATCTATGGCAACTGTACATCAGCTGCAGTTTAACGAAATCAAGAGAAATATGCAGCATAAATTACAGAGATAAGCAGTAGGATGGAGATTTTTTACATCAATTTTGTGAAGCTACGGATACCGTAAAGCAAATATGACTGTGGCTTTCTAGTTTAAACAAGGCACATGATGTGAATGAGATCACACCATCAAAAAACTTTCAAAATGGCTGCCAGAAAAAATGGCTGCCAAGAAGTTAATCAGCTCTAGAACTTTATATCCTCCATCAAGTGTGCAAATTTGGAGACAATCCGACCATTGACTTTTTCACTTGAAAGCCGACAAGCGGTTTTCCTCAAATGGCGATGACAATATTAAGCAAAAACAATTTGATATCTTCTATTACGTGTGCGAATTTGAAGACAAATCCGATGAGCGATTTTCCTGACATGGCGATGACAAGATTTTCTGAAAAACCTTCAAAATGGCTGCCAGGAAACAAGATGGCCACCCAAAAGTTAATCAGCTCTAAAACTTGATATCCTCTATCATGTGTGCGAATTTGGGTAAAATCCGATAAGCAGTTTTCCTGAAATGGTGATGACAAGATTTTCCGAAAAAACTTCAAAATGGCCACCAGAAAACAAGATGGCAGCCCTAAAGTTAATCAGCTCTAGAACTTGATATTCTCTATCATGTGTGCGAATTTGGAGAAAATCTGATGAGTGGTTTTCCAGAAATGGCGATGACAAAAAAGCGGGATGACCATGATCACAATCATGATAACGATCACGACCACTATCATGATGACTATGAAGACTATGTCCCACCGATGGTGTGATAAAAATTGAAACTAGAAAAACAGCAACTCCACGGAGTAGTGAATCCCACCGAACAAACACATTTTGACAATTAGTAGCCATCTTGAAAATTCCATCTTGAACAGAGCATATCAGCATCTAAAATTTAAACCAAATCCGTTCACTGGTATTTGAGTTACCAAATAGCACATTTTTTACGAAAAATGGTGGACATTTTGCAAAACAGCCACCATCTTGTTTAAGAAAAATGGTGGCCATTTTAAAATATAGCTGCCATCTTGAAAATTTCATAAGTAGATCTCCTTTGTCCCTAGGTAGTAGCATATAAAATTTGAACCAAATCTGTTCACTGGTATAAGTTTTTTTACAAAAAATGGCAGCCATTTTGAAATTCAGCTGCCATCTTGAAAATTCTTTCTCGAACAGGGCTACTATGTCCCTAGGCATCAGCATATATCAATTTACTGGTATTTGAGTTATGAAAGATTACGTTTCCTGAAAATTGATTCTTGAACAGAGCAACAGTGTCCCTTGGCTTCAGCATACAACATTTGAACTAAATACATTCACTGAATCTTGACATTCACTCACCATCTTGAAAATGTTTTCACGAACAGAGCAACTGTGTCCCTAGGCATCAGCATATAAAATTTGGATGAAATCAGTTAACTGGTATTTGAGTTATCAAAGATTAGGTTTTCTTGCAGAGAATGGTGGCCAGTTTGAAAAGCAGCAGCCATCTGGAAAATCTCTTCTTGAATAAAAGCTCCTTTGTTCCTAGGCATCAGCATATAAAATTGGAACCAAATCGGTCTACTAGGAATTGAGTTATCATAGATTACATTTTTTATGAAAAATGGTGGCCATTTTGAATTGAGCGGCCATATTAAAAATCTCTTCTCAAGCAGAGGTCCTACACCCATAAGACATATACTTTAGTGGGAAGCGAGGGCCCTTATATAAATTTTTAATGAGATTTTTTTATATCTACAGGATGTCTACTTAAAGAATTGTGATGTTTATCCCCCCCCAGGATGCACCCCTATTAGAGGGAATATTTTTTATTTTTCTCAGTCACTAGTGCAGCAAAGAATTCAATTTTTTCCACGATCACTAGGTCCCCTCCCCAGCTCTTTACATAAATTTTAATACCACTATTCATTGCCCATTAAACAAGTTATATTTAAAACTGTATGAAAACAGTTCATATTTTGCCCCCTGAGGTACCCACATTTGCTAATAGTCGAGCTTCATAACAGTTATTTGCATGGATATTTGTTAAAATGATTAATTAATAATATTTTCATATTTCTCATGTACAAAACTAAAAATATCAATGATACTGAAGAAATGTTAAATATTCCCCCTAATAGGTGCATCCTGGGGGAAACACTCAAAAAGAATTTCGCTCAGGAGATGGCAATGTTAACATCACAATTCTTAAAGTAGAGATCCTGTAGATATAAAAAAAATCTCATTAAAAATCTTTCGGGTGCATGGGGACTCTCGCTTCCTACTAAAATAATAAGTCTATAAAATTTGAATCAGATCCATCAAACGATATTTGAGTTATTGCCCGAACAGACGGACAGATGGATGAATGGACCGACGGATGGACAAACGAACGAATAAACAAATGGACGGACAGACAAATTTCCTTTATCCTCCTCGAACTTCGTTCAGTGGGATAATTACATGTATAAGGACTAATGTTGAGCGTTTTAGACCATCATTTCCCTAAGCATGGGAAAACTACCTTATTTCATGCGCTCATTTCATGTCACGATCATTTTCTTTCAATAGCATAAGCATACATGTAGACACTTGCCTGTTTACTTGCTTGCTCAATGGTCCTTGTGTCTTTCAGTTGTGGCTTAGAGCTCTTAATCATTTTCTTGCCAGTAAGTCGATGTGTTGCTTTTATAGTAGCTTCCATAACATTGCTAGCTCCAGACAAGATAAGACTACAAGATAAAGTACGCAAAAGCATTCACCAGAGGGGTTCACATAGAAGAGATGTTCACTTACACAAGTTTTATTGAACATGTCTATTAAAAGAATTGTTTTTAGTTATCAATTTTAGATATTGATTTGGCAATTTTTCTCTAAAAATGTAAAGAAAGGTGTTAATGTCAACACAGTTTTGGTAAAATCAAGTTAATTTGGTTTTCGGAGGGGTAATTATGATTTTTTACAAGTCGAAAATTATGGTTCAGAGATGTTGTCCAAATCTTGTTTGTGAAGGGGTTAACGATGAATTCATAAAAACAAGACAATTTTTCTATTGATGAGTGAGGGGAACATATTAAAAGAATCTGCTGACATGATAAATTATCTAATGATTGGTAGAGACATGATATCAAAGTAACATTTTAAATATCATTTGAAGAATGTAATCCTATTTTCTTAACTTTATTGCTATTTTTACTGTTATTGGAAATTGTATATCAGATGTACGTTTGGCCCTAAAAGGGCATCAGTACAAAGAAAATCCTAGTACAAAGTAAGTGAAGATTAAATGTTGGTTTTCTGAAAAATAAGAGGCAAGAAAAATCATCATTTAAACATTTTAATTGTATGTGGATCGGTATGACGAAGGGGGGGGGGTAACTATAATGACATAAGTTCATTTTTCAATAAAGACATACTGACACTATCTCTCAACAATTTTCGATCTTAAAATTTAAACACATGTTTGGCAATTTTTAAGTAATTAACTAAATGCAGCAATGTACATGTAGTCACTGCAATTTGAATTGTAAGCATATAATAATGTATTTCATTTGATCCATGCCATTTACATGTACTGTACGCCCGGTATTTTTCGCGTGCGATTTAGTTTCGCGCTTTTCGCGACTGTGTTAAAATCGCGAAAATTAATCGTCGCGAATTTCGCCAATTAAAGGCTGAGGTGCAACATGCCGTTGACTAAGACCTAGAAATTGTAAATCTTATCAAAATATGACATTGGGTAGGTCTTATTACTGTAGATAAGGTAAATTAGTTTACAGATCTTGAAGATCCAGAGAATAATGGAATTTAAAACTTTGAAATCCGCGAAATTTAATGGCCGCGAAATTGGTATTTCTCAAAATTCGCGAAACTAAAACTCGCGGAAAATACCAGGCGTACAGTATGTCTTAGACAACTTGTTAATGAAATAAACTGGAATAGGAACAAAAAAGGGTGATAACAATAACATATCTAAAATAACAACTCTAAAATTGTTAGTTGTCACTTCTTTTAGCAGGAGGTGAACACGACATGGAAATTATGACTTGATCAGGTACAAAGTTTTCAAGTTAGAAATTTCTGATTTCATGATATTGGGTTCTTCTGATCATGCAAGAATGTCGGTTAAGTACTGTACATGACTGTAACTAAAGTAGGTTCTTATACCCTCCTTTTATTCCCGGGAATCATTCCTCATTATGAAGATTTGAAATGTTAGTCCCTTTGTGTTGAAATAATGTATAGTATGGATTGGTCACCTGTAGTAACTAGATGTCCATGCAGTTTAAACTCACAACTGCCTGCCAATGGCAACCACTTTTTTATTGTTGTAAATGGACTAGACTGATCAGGTAATGGACTGAATGCCAATATGTTTAATTGTGAAAATGATGATTTCAACCTTTTAATAAATGTGGTCACTAACCTTGCAGCATTAAAGAACATTTGAACAAAACATGTGTTTATCTATATTATGTCTGCATTTCTGCATTCTACCTTGCAATGTTCTCAATAACTTCTGGACTAATATCTTCTTTACTCTCCACTTTAAACACCAGTATTTTACTCAAGTCTTCAAACACATGTGTTGCTTTGGACTGCACATATACAAGCATAATTAGTTAGACATACAGTATGAGCAAATAACATGTGTTGCTTTGGACTGCACATATACAAGCATAATTAGTTAGACATACAGTATGAGCAAATAACATGTGTTGCTTTGGACTGCACATATACAAGCATAATTAGTTAGACATACAGTATGAGCAAATAACATGTGTTGCTTTGGACTGCACATATACAAGCATTATTAGTTAGACATACAGTTTGAGCAAATAACATGTGTTGCTTTGGACTGCACATATACAAGCATAATTAGTTTGACATACAGTATGAGCAAATAACATGTGTTGCTTTGGACTGCACATTCACAAGCATAATTAGTTAGACATACAGTATGAGCAAATAACATGTGTTGCTTTGGACTGCACATATACAAGCATAATTAGTTAGACATAATAACATGTGTTGCTTTGGACTGCACATATACAAGCATAATTAGTTAGACATACAGTATGAGCAAATAACATGTGTTGCTTTGGACTGCACATATACAAGCATAATTAGTTAGACATACAGTTTGAGCAAGTAACATGTGTTGCTTTGGACTGCACATATACAAGCATAATTAGTTCGACATACAGTATGAGCAAATAACATGTGTTGCTTTGGACTGCACATTCACAAGCATAATTAGTTAGACATACAGTATGAGCAAATAACATGTGTTGCTTTGGACTGCACATATACAAGCATAATAAGTTAGACATACAGTATGAGCAAATAACATGTGTTGCTTTGGACTGCACATATACAAGCATAATTAGTTAGACATACAGTATGAGCAAATAACATGTGTTGCTTTGGACTGCACATATATAAGCATAATTAGTTAGACATACAGTATGAGCAAATAACATGTGTTGCTTTGGACTGCACATATACAAGCATAATTAGTTAGACATACAGTATGAGCAAATAACATGTGTTGCTTTGGACTGCACATATACAAGCATTATTAGTTAGACATACAGTATGAGCAAATAACATGTGTTGCTTTGGACTGCACATATACAAGCATAATTAGTTAGACATACAGTATGAGCAAATAACATGTGTTGCTTTGGACTGCACATATACAAGCATAATTAGTTAGACATACAGTATGAGCAAATAACATGTGTTGCTTTGGACTGCACATATACAAGCATAATTAGTTAGACATACAGTATGAACAAATAACATGTGTTGCTTTGGACTGCACATACACAAGCATAATTAGTTAGACATACAGTATGAGCAAATAACATGTGTTGCTTTGGACTGCACATATACAAGCATAATTAGTTAGACATACAGTATGAGCAAATAACATGTGTTGCTTTGGACTGCACATATACAAGCATAATTAGTTAGACATACAGTATGAGCAAATAACATGTGTTGCTTTGGACTGCACATATACAAGCATAATTAGTTAGACATACAGTATGAGCAAATAACATGTGTTGCTTTGGACTGCACATATACAAGCATAATTAGTTAGACATACAGTATGAGCAAATAACATGTTGCTTTGGACTGCACATACACAAGCATAATTAGTTAGACATACGGTATGAGCAAATAACATGTTGCTTTGGACTGCACATATACAAGCAAAATTAGTTAGACATACAGTATGAGCAAATAACATGTGTTGCTTTGGACTGCACATATTCAAGCATAATTAGTTAGACATACAGTATGAGCAAATAACATGTGTTGCTTTGGACTGCACATATACAAGCATAATTAGTTAGACATACAGTATGAGCAAATAACATGTGTTGCTTTGAACTGCACATATACAAGCATAATTAGTTAGACATACAGTATGAGCAAATAACATGTGTTGCTTTGGACTGCACATATACAAGCATAATTAGCTAGACATACAGTATGAGAAATAGCAAATAAGACCAAAGTTGAAAATGAGATGTTTAACATGTTCATCCATGATCCAAAACTCCCATGGCAGATCTAAATTCAACATCACATTTATAAAATTGAAATGTAATATTGCATTATGATTGCTAATACTAAGTTATCAATTGTGCTGAGGTGGAATTGAAGGATAATCCAATGTAAGTACATGTAACAAAAACAAGGGGGATAACTCTACTATTATATTTCTATTTTTAAAGCATTTATCAACAAAGCATTAACATGCAAAATGTTACCACATACCATTTGTTAAAGAAACCATCCACCAAATGCCAAACATTGTCAACAAAACAAATGGAGACTATAACAAAATGTCACCACTTCTTGTGGTGATATAAAATGGTGGAAAGACAGGCCACTAACAGAACAAGTAGAGTAAGGACTGTTTTGCAAGAAGGATGTCCCGTATTGCATTACTTACCTTAGCAGAAGAGGCAAGTTCCCCACTTTCTAGTGTAACACTATGCAAGGCTCCTGCCTTCTGTTTAAGCACTTTCAGGTCATCTATGCTTGAGTTTGATACTGATGTCACCATAGAATCACGGATCTAAAGATAAAATTAATACAAGGCATTAACATGCAAAATGTCACCACCTGCCAAATGTTAAAGATGCTGAATGTCCACAGCCAAACACAGACCACCAACTACAAATAAGCCACACGGTGAACAGAATCGCACCCTTGAACAGAATACACTTTTCGGGATGGAAAATTCAAAATGGCCACCTTAACATTTACCCAGACTGCCTAAAAACTAATCAGTTCTAAACTTTCCATAGAAACATCTCTAAAATTTTAGGATGAATCAATGAAACCTGTAAACAACCCTCAAGAGACACGTTTTAAGGTATTACTTCACAGTGTATCAGCTTTTTTTCTACAATTCAGATTTTCCTGAAAAAATCCTGGTAAAAGATATACTGATGTATTACAAAATATGGGAAAATTGACCGTTTAGTTATTTCTAAAAAAGTTTTAATTTAACATTGCTCTCAATGGGAAATTCTTATTTATTTTTTAAAACAAGCCTTCACAGACAAGATTTTAGGACAAAAAATCCAAAATGGCCACCTTAACATTTACCAAGAATGCCGAAAAACTAATCAGTTCTAAACTTTTATAGGTAGAAACATCCCTGAGAATTTCAAATGAATCTCTCAAACGGTTTGGCTGGAAACCTGTAGACAAGATTATTCGGGACGCCCGCCCGCCCAACCGCCCGCCCGGCAAACTGATTATAATATAGCACCTGAGGGTGCGATAAAAAAAGTTGAAGATAGCAATTGTCACCACCACATAAATTTTTCACTAATGTTTAGTTTTCACCATTTTGAGCACTAATTTTTGGCCAAAATTGTCAAATTTAGGCAAAAACTGGCTAGAGTCCTGTGCATTGTACATGTACAAAGATGTCATTGGGTATAGCTACATGTACATGTTTTTATAGAATTTGTATGTGGAATTGTTGAATTATGGTCATCTATGGATTAGTTCTTCCCTTTGCAGGGTTTACTTGCCTGATTGAGTATAAAGGTATATTAAACTGTAATTAAGTTCCTCGAAAACCATTTCGTGAGAGGGGTTCAGTATTCCCTGGGGGTCATAACATTATAAGCTCTCTTAGAACATGTAGTTCAACCTCCCTATTATATCGTAATACTTCATTCACGTTAATGTGGAAATGTCTTATCATAGAATTCTTACCAGGCTTCTTTGCTCCAATGAAGTAGATTTTGTGAGCGTGTTGTTCTCATTGGATTCCGTATTTAATATGGCAGACACTGTCAATACAAGCTGACTGGCAGCTGGAATCAAAGTTCATAGTCATTTTCTCAAAGGTTTAGTGAAAAAATTCAACATTAACAGTATTGGATGACCAGATTATATTCTTGACAATTATATACTAGTATCAGATCATCATATCACTTTTGCAATATATGAATTGTGTAATAAGAAGATTTCTATCTTCCCATTCCTTACTTTTTATTTTCAGTCTTGAATTTGTTCCCACATTGTAAGGATATCTTGGGTTTTCTTGAGTAACAAGCTGACAAAATACAGTCATAATCATATTATGGACAGGCGACCCCAACATTTTTACCCTCTATTTTTGGAATAACTGTCCATATTGATGGAATCCTCTAGATTTTTCTTGTAAAAAGAAAATGGATTCAACATAGTAAGGTTAAGGAAGGGCGTTATAAAATTTTTTGTCTATTCAGTAGGTATGTTATGACATGCACAAAGTTCTATTTAGTCATATTTTCATTTCAAATATGGCGGCCAATCCGATGTCTAACAACCCTTACAAAAATCTAGGCAGTGTGCATTTTAACCTCCTGTGAAATAACCACTGGCATTTAGTAGTCATTTTGTGTTTTATATCATTCTGCATCATAATTCTATGTCTTTTGGTGTTAAAACATTAGCAGAAATAATCGAGTGAATTAGACAACAGAATTTTCGAAAACCGTTTATAAAAACTTGTATTATCATGCTAAAAGTGCGACTGTGCACCTCAATGTCAAGCTAAATTAATGTTGTGTCTAAAACACATACCTGACCTAATCGCTTGTCATTCAAGTATATATGCTTAGTAAACATAGCAAAATGATCTGAATTTTAGAATTTTGTTCAAAACTAGTAATGCTCGCTACATGTCTTCATCATAAGTATTCATCAGACTTTGGGCATGCTCAGGAGAAAATCATCAACCAATCACACCAGTTGGAGATTACCCGATATCAGTCGGAGAAATCTGACGATCAACAGAAACTCACTTCAAAAAATCAAAAGCGGACTGACGGCGTCTTCTACTATCCTGGGATCTAAGATTTTCAGTATAGATAAGGTCTTTTGGGATCTTTTGAATGAGGGAAGTCTCTAGTTAAAAAAAGGACAATCGTATCAACTTGAAAAAAGTTGAATTTTTACGAAAAATTTTAACATGCGCAGAAGTCCCATTTGCCATTTTGACTGTATTGAATACTGGTAAAGCATGGTTGTTGAGATCTTGTTTACATTTTGAAAAAGCTGTAAATTAGTTTGATTTGAACTTGTATGTATTAAACCTTTCTGTTTTGGTACAACTTGAAGTTTATTTGCATCAAATTACATGTAGATACCACAATGCAGATTTAAGTTACCACCATTTTATTCAGTGGGTTGCATTTTTATTGGCTCACTCTGTACTTTCAAATTACCTTGAATTTTGCCTGATCCTATGAGGTTGTCTAACTTGCTCTCCTGGCCATTGGTTGTTACAGTGAGATTTGTCAACATCTCTACTAAATCATCTCCATCTTCTGTTATATTTGGGTACACTGTGGACTTCATATGGTAAGGGTAGACCTGGAAATCATCATTTCAGCTATAAATTTTATTAGATTCATAATGGGTTTATAAATACACACAGATGATAGACCCAATTTGTCTGTTCTGTTGAAATTAATTCTAATTTTAAATGATCAGATCTCTGAATTCCTTTTATTTCAGAAACTAAAATTAGGATTTTAATGAAAATTTGAAAAAATTGCCTCCGACGTTTGACACTCTATCTCCTCCAATTCCTGAATTGAAACAATTGAATTCTCTCCTTATTTATATGTATTATTCATAGTACAATGTACCAGACCCTGCAAGGTTTTTCTCAGCTCTATTATTACCTGCAGAGTGACAACCTCCATAGTGGTTGTTTGAAGATAATCTGTTGCGTTAATATGTATCTCTACTGTGTAGTTATTAGCACTGTCCCCAGGAGCTAACTGAACACCCTGTAACTCTGATGCATCACTGGAACCCAGCATAGATCCTGAAATGAGTCAATTACCACAACATACAGTAAAGGCCAGTAAACTTGTATAAGTAGGTGGAACTAGGCACTGACAGTTTGATATAATGGTCAATAAAGAATGCACATGTATGTACAAAATGTATATACAGTAAAACAAAGAGACACATGTAGCATGAAATATGGTGATGATTAAAAGCAGTATGATGTAGATTTCTATATCAATTTGAGAAGCTTGGACGCCATAGGGTCGGCGTAGAGCAAATGTGAATGAGGCTTGAGTGACTCTTTACCTGTTTGATAAAATAAAATGATGGTGCCACTTTAAACATGCATAGAGAATCCACTTCCCAAAACACAAATCTTTTTTTCCCCGCTGAGAAATGTTATCAGAACCCAGAACAGCAGTACTCTTCAATTTCCATTATATAACATTATTTTATATCATATAACTAACCTGCATTGTCAGAATCCTTCTTATAGTAGAATTCATAAGTAACTGGGATGTCTTCATCTTGGAACTTCTCACAGTGAATGTCAAACTCATCAAACAGAGTAACCCCAATAGATGGCAACACAGTACAAGAGCTATATGGAGCTATAGGCGGCGTATTAGTAGTAAACCCGAAAGAGGCAAATCCAGAATCCAGACCTGCTCCACTTTTCTTGACACCTACGTTAATAATCAAAGAATTACAAATAAAAGATACATCCTCATTTTATCATCAGACATATAAAATTTTCAAGGAAAATAATAAAATGACATTTAGTGACTCTATACATACTTTACATTTCTCTTTTAAGCCACTACAAGTACAATTTCCAATAAATTAATATTATAGTATCCAACTTTCATGACAATAAAGACAATGCGCCACACGGGAGCCTTAGATTCTATTGATCCATCTTTTTGCAATGTCCAATAAAAGAAGGTTTAGATGTTCATATGTTCATATGTTCATAAAAATTGTTGATAGTCATGTAATTAAAATACTTGTTTAAAAATAACAATGAGTATAAAGCAACATTAATCCTTTGACAGCAAGTGTAAAGCTATATCAATCATACCTGTGACATTTAATGTAAAGTTACATCTACTTGTGACAGTGAGTATAATGCTACATCATACCAGTGACAGTGATTACAAAGCTAGATCATACTTGTGTCAGTGAGCATAAATCTAAATCATACCTGTGACAATGAGTATAAAGCAAATTCATACCTGTAACAGTGAGTATAAGGCTACATCATACCAGTGACAGTGAGTATAAAGCTACATCATGACAGGGAGTATAAAGCTACATTATACCTGTGGCAGTTAATGTAAAGCTACATCATACCTGTGACAGTTAATGTAAAGCTACATCATACCTGTAACAGTTAATGTAAAGCTACATCATGCATGTGACAATGAGTATAATGCTACATCATAGTGACAGTGAGTACAAAACTACATCATGACAGTGAGTATTAAGCTACATTTCACCTGTGGCAGTGAGTATAAAGCTACATCATACTTGTGACAGTGAGTATAAAGCTAAATCATACTTGTGACAGTGAGTAAAACGTTACATCATACCTGTGACAGTGAGTATAAAGCTACATCATGACAGTGAGTATAAATAAGCTACATTATACTTGTGACAGTTAATGTAAAGCTACATCCTACCTGTGTCAATGAATATAATGCTACATCATACCAGCGAGAGTGAGTACAAAGATACATCATACTTGTGACAGTAAGTATAAAGCTACATGATGAGAGTGACTATAAAGCTACATTTTACCTTTGACAGTGAGTACAAAGCTACATTATACCTGTGACAGTGAGTACAAAGCTACATGACAGTGAGTATAAAGCTACATTATACCTGTGACAGTGAGTATAAAGCTACATCCTTTTGGGAATATTCCTGGCTTGAAGCTTACAGCTTGACTGGACTGCTCTGTGAAGCTCATTGTAGCCCAGTCTGAAGGAAAATTTTCATTGGTGATAGGCTTTCAATTGTTGAAGCAATTCTATACATGCCATGGAATTTCTAATTAACATTCTAAGGTATATTCATCCATGATAATACTAGGGTATGAACTTTTTAAAAAGAAGAAATTGACAAGGATACAAGTATTTGACATTTTCTCATCGCTTTTCTGAACAAAAATCCTTTAACATTTGCACATTCAATGTTACTGCGCTTCATTTACTTACCCATTGTGAAGTTGCAGCCAAGAGAACCAATTGACCAATCAAAGCTGAGATCACTCTGTTGTTGACAGTTAGTACAATGGGCTGCCATGGAGATTTTGCTATCAGAGGTCACCTTGTACTTGCAATTCTGGAGGCATCTACAACATATGGGATAGAAATCATGGGTTTTCAACTAGGACCATACTACACTGGATATTGTGTGTTACCCTGCATTTTAGGGATAATAACCATGACAATGGCAAACTTCAAGCACTACGGTAACTTCTAATTCTGGAAGACACATTGACTTTTTATGAAAGTCTTAAACTACTCTTTAGGTTGATTTTTTCCTATTCTGAAATATTTATTGATAAATTGTCTTTTTTGGCACAACCATAAAATATGGCATTATTCTGAGGGACTACGAAAAGGGACTAAGATCATTTTAATACTACAGTACAGTGAAACCTGTATATCCAAACATTTTTCTAATCCAAACACCTCTTAATGTGAACACCTTTTCTTGGTTCAAATGTTATCTCCCATAGAGTCACATATAAAGAAAACTGTGAAATGTGAACAAATGCTAATCCAATAACTCCTGGCCAGTCAAGTGTTCAGATTAACAGGTTTTACTGCATTACATATATAGGGGTTATGCACTGGGAGGTTTTGGATACAGGGAATATCCCGAGGGATATACAATATATCTTCCCGAGGGACCAAAGGGACCGAGGGAAGATGTATTGTATATCCCAAGGGATATTCAATGTATCCAAACCGACCGTGCATAACTGGTGTATCTCATACTTGAGTGGGTTTAGGGTAGATATAACCTTTTCCACCTTTTTCAAATGACAAGATATTTATATTCAACATTTTCGTAATATTCTTTTTGTTCCATACAATGAAATTGTAACATTTAAACTTAAAAAAATTAAATTTTAAAATTAAAACTTTTGATATTTAAACTTTTTTAAACTTTTGAAAAATTCCCGGGAGCGGGATGGATATATTATATCTGCCCGCATTTGGCCTGGAGCGGGACATATAGAATATATCCTGCCCGCTCCTCAGATACGATATATATTCCCGGGTGATATCTACCCGAAACCCACTCAAGTATGAGATACACAGGTGTATTACATACCTAGCGAAGCATTTGTATGGAAGTCAATGGAAAAGTAGCAGGCTACATGTATATCTACCGATATTCCACGGTTACCCCGTTTTGATATTAGATTTTTTAATAACCATGACAATATCGCAACATCATGTTTCATTTCGATTAAAATTCTACTCGCACACAGATGTGTGACGTCATTGATGTAGCTATGGGAATAAAGGTATGTAATACATCAGTTATGTCAAAATGGCGTGAAATATGCCTTCGTTCTTGCCCAAATATAGAGCTTCCCAAGGTCAGCAAATATTGGGAAAACTCAGGCATATTTCACGTCATAGTGACATAAACTCTAAATATATTTTTTATTGTACATGTGACTCGGAGTACAAATTAGGTTTTTTCACATTGATACAGTTATTATCTCTTATTCAAGTGTCAAATGTTTAAAAAATGTATATGGGTACTTACAAGACCTGGACATTTGGCTTCTCTGCAGGGACGACTATGATAACTTGAGAGAATGACACTGGGTCTCTCCTGCCTTTACTGATAGTCACGGTAAACACATAAGTGTCACTCTCGTTTAAAGCACTATTAGGTACAGTAAAGTTATTATCTGAAATATGTCATTGATTTTTGTATAGTTTCATCTTCATATAGTTCTCCAACTGTTGCTAAACCTAATTTCAATCCAATACTATCATTTGAGATAAACTCACAGTACAAAACAGATTTTCAAAAATTAATAGTATATATGATTTATTCCATTCTATTATATCCTTAACTTATTCTTATCTTACTCCTAATTAAACATAAATTTGCCTCGCTAATTAATCTTTGCCTCACCAAATGTCAGATTCTGGAAATATCATTAAACACATGATTCTTAATATTCACATTTAAAAATGAAAATACCTGTTAACACAAGGGAGGTATCACTGGACCAAGTTATGCAGGTGCCATTAAAGGCCTCCTCTGTACAGTTACTCAAACCAGGTAGCTCACAGTTCCCATGAAATTTGCTACAAGACCATTCAAAACTGAAAGAAACAATAAATTACTTATAACTAAGGTTAACACCCCAAGGTTTTAATCAAGAGGGGGAAAAACCCCAGGGTTCAAAGATGACAAATGCTTATAATGTAAATCTGTATTGAGATGGCATCGTCGCTGATTGGTTTAGCGAGTCGATCGTTGATTGGTTTAAAACTAGGTCAATTTGAAAACTTTGAAAACAAAGATGGAGGGTAAGTCTTCGACAAAAGGAGGTGCGCGAAGGAAGAAATCGTATGTCATCAATTGAATCATGGGGTTTTCCCTCCTTTTGTTTTAATCCATATAATTTGTTATCCTTGACCTCCAAAGTGAAAGGTCAACTCAATGTCATAGGCTTAGTAATAATTCAAAATAGGTGGCAAGTGGGTGTCACATCTAAAATGTCAGTTTTAGTTCACTCTATAGGTAATAGCTAACAATAACCATATAATCACTTATAACTAAGGTTTTTATCTATATAACTTGTTATCCTCGACCTCCAAAGTGAAAGGTCAACTTAATGTCATAAGCTTAGTAATTATTCAAAATAGGTGGCAAGTGGGTGTAACATGTAAAATGTCAGTTTATAGTTCACTCTATAGGTAATAGCTAACAATAACCATATAACATCTTTAAAGGTCTATGGGATTCATAGAGGTCAATCTATAACTAATTTAAGGCAAAATCTCTAACAGGTCAAAGGTCAGTAACTCTATATATAGCTTTTCCACATTTTTGTGATCCTTGCTATTTTTCATGATTCTACCCCCCCCCCCCTCCCACCTCCCCTTACAGGTCTGATAATGTGATGTACAAATTTACTAAATAGTCTCTGATTATGTAAGCTATAAAAGAATGTAGGAATAAACTGTAAACTCACCGTAAAACATCGTCTTGTTGAACATCAACATCGGGATCATAAGAAAGACTAGCATCAATGTGAACTGTGTCGTTTGTATTAACAGATCTGGATGAGCCTCCTTTGATAAGAGAAACCAGTGGGAGGGGTTTCACTTTAATGAAGCCCTGTAACAACATTATCTTCAGTTTTTTTCTCATTTTGGTGCACAATTATTGTGATTCCTGTATATCTGAACATCTCTTTAATGAGAACAAAGCTCTCCTAAGACTAATGTGTCTTACCTGTTTGTAAAGCACACCAACAGTCAGCCCTAAGTAAGTTGCAGTGGCTTCCAGTGTTATCGCATAAGCCCCATAGTCCAGCCCCAGCACAGCAACACTCAACTGATTCTCATGTCTCTGCACATCAGTATCATTTGGATATATCAAATTGGCAGAATTTGGATAAGGATGCGTGTCATTCAGCATAAACAGTTGCCATGAATACCCCACAGAAGAATGTCCACAACCAAACTGTACAATGCCAGTGACATGTATTGGTAATCTTGCAAGAAAACTTGTCGGGTTAACTAACGTACTATCGTCAATCAATGTGAATGTTATGTTTCCTGCTGTACAGTTGCCCTTTACTTCAATCGTTACAACGGCTGATACATTCTTATGCTGATTGGTCCCATGTATTATGACATCATTGCTACCAGCCTCATGGAACGTGTAATAGACAGTGTCGTTGTAACTCGAGTTTTTGCCCAATAGACTGAGGGTAGGATCATATATTTCAAACTGGAAGCCACCACCAAAGTCCCACGTAAATGTAGGAGTCTCGCCAATGTTTATCACAGACATTACAAATGACATTTCCGTTCCAATTAGTGACACATTACCATTCAAACTCTGCAGTGTTAAACCCTTGACCTGGTTATCTGTAAGAAATTGATGCATGGTCTATATGTTTCAGTTTTATATAAAAGAGTACTAAAGTACAGTATAGCTTACCAACAATAGATAATAGTTGAGGGTTAATATAACATATAATTCATTCAGGCCCTGTATATCGCGAGCATGTTTCCGCTGACATCGCGAGCAATGAGCTCATGCTAGAAGCGGGCCTTGAGAGATATGATAAAACTGAAATATAAAATTTTCTATAAAACTCAAGTAAGTGAAACTCAGTACAACTTTATTTCATAGTACAATGGCTATTTGATTTGCTGGGCAAGTATATCTCTATATCATATCTCTCAAGGCCCCACTTCTAACATGAGCTCATTGCTCCCGATGTCAGCGGGGCCTGGATAGTCCCCGTGAAATTATAACAAGAACACAAACATGCAAAACATGCCAAGATGAAAATCTAAAATGGGCACCAAAGAATTTACTCTGTGAAAAAAATAAGCAACGTTATAATGAAAACGCTTTATTATTTTCTAAAATTTCATACACCACCCCATCCAGACAGATTGCCTAAAATTACATTCGTATGATGTGAGACTCGACATTCACTAAGAAAGTAGAAACGTTTTGTCACTCATGATGCAAATCAATTTTTTACGGCTTAATAAATGATAAATGGCAGTATGAGAATACCATGCCATCTTGATATTTCAAGGTTTGTTCGAAAAATGATGATGGTGACTGAAATCACGATGTAAAGATAAAACCGCAACAAAATATTTGTAGATTTCTTTGAATTCTCTGGAAAGCCCGGTCACCCGGTTTTTAAGACAAACAAGAATATCATTTTAATCTACTCGGTGATATTGATATATGCACTCGTTCGCTTTGCTCTCTCGTGCAGATATCAATATCACCTCGAAGATAAAAATGATATTCCTCAAAATCATAGGATATCCTATAAATATCTATATAGCATATTAATATTGTATATTTACACAGCATAATAACATTGTACATTTATATAGCATAATATTGTACATTAATATAGCATAATAACATTGTACATTTATATAGCATAATATTGTACATTAATATAGCATAATAACATTGTACATTTATATAGCATAATAATATTGTACATTTGTATAGCATATGTAGCATAATAATATTGTATATTTACATGTTATACTCCTCTTCTCATACAAGTCCTGGTTATATCCAAAACTAAATGTTTCACCATTCACCAGGCTGGTATTACCAAAGTAACAAAATGACGGGTACGATACGTTTTTATAGTCGACGGTCTTACATGTAATATTATCTGCACACCTAAAATTAGAATAATTGTTTAAAACATATTTTATATATGCATGCAGTTGCCACAAATTCAGAATTTATTATCTAATGATTTACAGTGGTATAGCTACACGGTATATGTATACAAAGTATAAATATACTTTCAAATTTTCTAACAGAAAGATAATTTTACGAGATTTGTGATGAAAAACCTTTTTGCTATTCTGATACAGTCAGATTGTTAATTCCATAAACAACTTTGAATTTACAAAATACCAGTAATCAAAGGACCACATTGCAACAGCATTTGGAAAAATAAAAAATGTAGGTTTTGTATATTTCAAACAATTGTGCAGCAAAGCTGTGGCCTTTTGTAACTTTGTGAGTTTCAGTCATTTCGATGTTTTCAAAAATAATATAGCAGAGAAGCATCAAAATATACGACACCACACAAATGATACTCAAACAACAAAAGAAACCAAAATGTACAAAAGTTAGCCCATGTACATAATTTCTCCATACTGTTGCAATGTGGTCCTATAATTATCCCAATGAACAAAGTTCGGTAGTGCTATACTGAAGCCCTTCGTCCATGTCTCAGTCAGTCTTGCAGTTCGTCATTCTGTCCAGATGATAACTCAAATACTAATGGACGGAATGTGTATATAATCGGTCATTAGTTGCAAAAAAATCTTTTTAAAATGGCCGCCACTTTGAAAATGGAATGGAATTTTTGGCGATAGTTTCAAGTTTTCCATTTTCATTTTAAACCAAAGTAATTAATATTATTGTTTGAAATTTTGGTATTTTATTCAAAACATTTATCTTTTTTACATATCACCCTATGCAGACAGAGCCTGTGGGAAATATTGGGTGCGGCACAAATGAGCGGAGGGTTTGGAGCTAACGGTCATTTTTGAATTTAAAATTGGGATATTTCTGAAACTAAGCCGTTTTGGGACTTCAAATATACCAAGATATGTGTATTTGACACCAAATATCAATAAAATTGTGAAAATAGTAGTGCAATTCATTTTATAGCGACGCAGTATGCCTTAAACATTTCCCAGACCTATATATTTTGAGACTATCCTTTTAATACTGCGTCCCCAGCATTCATAAAAATGGTGTTCAAGATACACTACCCATGCAAATTATTTTTGCATCTTGGAAGCCAGGCAGTATCTGTGTCATTTTATAAAAATTCGGAAATGTTCTTCAGATCTGAGCCCCCTCTAAATATTGGGTGCGGAGGTACGTTTACGGAGCTCCTCCGCACCCAATATTTAGAGGGGGCTCATACTGAAAAACATTTCCGAATTTTTATAAAATCACACAGATACTGCCTGGCTTCCAAGATGCAAAAATAATTTGTATAGATAGTGTACCTTGAACACCATTTTTTATGAATGCTGGGGACTCAGTATTAAAAGGATAATTTCAAAATATATAGGTCTGGAAAAGGTTTAAGGCACACTGCGTCGCTATAGAATGAATTGCGCTACTATTTTCATTGTATTGATATTTGGTGTCAAATACACAACAGCGGATTATATAAAAATGGACTGTAACAAATACCCGGATTTGTTGGTTTTTAAAAAAAATATTTTTTGATATCACTTTTTATGCCCAGCATAAAACGTGATGTCCCATTTTATGCTGGCATAAAAAGTGATGTCCCATTTTATGCTGGCATAAAAAGTGATGTCCCATTTTATGCTGGCATAAAAAGTGATGTCCCATTTTATGCTGGCATAAAAAGTGATGTCCCATTTTATGCTGAGCATAAAAAGAGATACCCCATTTTCTGCTGGTATTATTTAGTAAGTGATGTTTAAAGGTGGTTCAAGATTTCAGACCCATCTTTCTCACATAGATTGCTGAACTTATTTTAGTTAAGAATTCTAATAGAATTAAGAATTAATAGCTGAAACTGTTCTGTTTGTCCTAGCAAACAATATCCCAATATGCATTTGAAATTCATTTTTGTCTATATGTGTTGACAGTCTGTGATGTCATCATCAATCATCACAATGGGAATTCGGTGAATTCTATCTGTGACAGTGAGATTATCTATGATGTCACATAGTAGTTTGATTTCTAAGAAATGTGGCAGAGTTCTATCTATGACAGAGATGCTTTGTGATGTCATCATGAATTATCTCGTTTCCATTGTGATGATTGATGATGTCATCAGAGTACTTTGTGATGTCATCGTGAATTACCTCATTTCTATTGTGATGATTGATGATGACATCACAGACTGTCAACAAATAGACAGAAGAAGTTGAACTACAAGTTGGAAAATTGTTTGCCAGGGCAAAACAACTCAGTTTCAGCTAATAATTCTTAATTCTATTAGGAATTCTTAACTAACAATGGTTCAGCAATCTGTGCCAGAATGATGGGTCTTAAATCTTGAACTACCATTAAACATCACTTCCAAAACAATACCAGCAAAAAATGGAGTATCTCTTTTTATGCTCAGCACAAAATGGGACATCACTTTTTATGCCAGCATAAAATGGGATATCACTTTTTATGCCAGCATAAAATGGGACATCACTTTTTATGCCGGGCATAAAAAGTGATATCAAAAAATTACTTTTTTTAAAAATCAACAAATCCGGGTATTTGTTACAGTCCATTTTTATATAATCCGCTGTTACACATATCTTGGTATATTTGAAGTCCCAAAATGGCTTAGTTTCAGAAATATCCCAAATTTAAATTCAAAAATGACCGTTAGCTCCGCACCCTCCGCTCATTTGCTCCGCACCCAATATTTCCCACAGGCTCTGTCTGCATAGGGTGTATATATTCTGTGTTTTTCTACCCTCAGTGCAGAGTCTAGATATAAACCACCCTCTGCCTAGCAAAGACTATATTACAGTTCAACAGTCCCGCCCCAAAGATTGGTGCCTGGGACAGCCCGGGTAATAAACAATTTCAAAACTACCACCCTGACCCTTTCTCAACCAATGAGCAAAGTGGAAGGAACGAGTGCTTACAAGTCGTCTGTATTTCAAACAACAAACTCTGATTGGCTTAGTGAGATCAGAGATTTATTGCAAACTGAAAGAGTGAAGACAAGTGAAATCGAACAAATGCAAAGGGTAGTATTTTTCAGTCTGACCCCCAGGGGCTGGTCAGGACAACAGGATTTTTTGTTGATTCATGATTTTCTGTAAATTAATTTCTGGTAACAGGTCTTTTACGTCGGTATTACAAGGATTAAATATTCAAAATGTGTTCAATTCTAAATCTTACTGTTCAAACAAGAGGTAAAAATCATATCCATTGTGTTTAACAACATTTGTACTCAGGATACATGATTAATGTTGCATTGCATCTTTTCGATTCCTTAGTTGAACCTATTTTAACTTATGCCTTGGAGGTGTGGATCAATGAAAAACATCTGAAGACAATAGAGACAATGCACCTATCTTTTCTTAAATGTCTGTTAGGTGTTAAAAAATCAACTGCAACACCAGCAATTTGTGGAGAATTGGGACGCTACCTGTTAAAAATACGTTTTGAAATCAAATTAATTAAATATTGGCTCCGTTTACTTCATCTATCACCAGGAAACATTCTTCTTAAAACATATATATATGACCGTGAAATGAGTCAATTTGGTTTTAAAGGCACTTGGTCAAACAAAGTCATTGATATTTTAAAAAAGTGTGATTTATTATCTTATTGGGATACTCAAAAGATTGATGATGACAATATTTTTATCAAGACAATAACAAAAACACTGTATCAGAATTATAAAACTCAATGGAACAAAGATATATTAAATCACCCTGTCTTGAGAACTTATGTTAAATTCAAAAATGTCTTTGAAAGAGAGAGTTATTTAAATATCCAAAATAAAAATTACAGGCAAGCAATTTGTAGATTTAGGCTTAGTTCCCACAAGTTACATATAGAACTTGGTCGTCATTTTAAGCCAAAGCCAAAACCTGTAGATGAACGTTTATGTAATATTTGTGGTATTTTAGAAGATGAACAACACTTCATCATGATTTGTAAGAAAAACACTACAGAAAGAAAAATTTTGTTTGACACCCTTATACAATTTAATTTTGTAGGCAGTCCTGACATTATTTTTAAAAAACTAATGTCTCACAAAAATTCTTATGTAATTTTACATTTAGCAAAGTTCATCTATCATTCACTCAAAAAATTGGATTAATGTGTCAACGATGCATCACACTGATATTTAAATTTCTGTCAAGTTATATTTGTATTTTACAATTATCTTGTATTCTGTATTTTACATTTGATGATGTATTTTAGATTTGACAATTGTATTTGACAACAACTTTATTTTTGTATTCAATAGTTAGTTTAGTCTTAGGTCAGTTTTGTAGATTGTAGTTTTTAGTGACCAATATGTCATTGTAATGACATCAGAGAGTCAATAAAAGATATATATATATTGGAACCTAACATTTGAATTTTTCACACAAAAAATTTGAAGTAAATACTGAGTAGTTTATATAACATCATCAATTCTAATGAATCATTAATGTTCAGTTGATGCGTCAATGTACAGATCTGATTTTTCTAAAATATACACAATGAATGAGTATTTGCTTAACCTTCATCTGTTCTAAAATGTGTGTTACAGCCATTCTCCGTTAAGCATGAAAAATGGTGTAACTGCTTTTCCTAATGATGTTAATCAAATATATGCACTTTTATGGAATAAATTACATTTTTTATCAAAAATTATGATATGGCAGTAAAATCAAATACATATTACATGTGCAGCGTGTTACTGACTTGGAGGTGCCTGGCCTGTAGTATGTGGGGGTATCCAAAATGGCCTGTCATCGAAGTGATAAGTGGACGTGGATTTTCTGTTCATTATACACAATTGGCATACAGTCGCTATGTAACATATTAGAACGAATCTTTGATATATCTTCTTTCATAAAAATACCTAACCTCACGATCCATCTTTTAGTCTTTCAAAAATTAAACTTTGAATTCTGTCACTCAGTTGTATCTAATTTACGGGTCAGACTATGACACTTCAACCTGGTCTTGTATGTAAGCTTCTCAACAAGTTATTGATCGCAAACTAATCACATATTGATACCTGATCCAACAAACAAGCCTTTTTCTAATTTATGGGACTGGCATGTAAAAAGAATGTGCAAACATATTATATCAAATCTAATACAACAGATATTTAGCGGGATATTTATAGCCTCGTTGGGTCTCTTTTTAAAACCAGCTTTATTCCCGATCATGGTTTCATATTTCTTGTATTATTATTAATTGCAATCCTAAATTAATTTACGAGATCAATTTACGGGACACACACTTTTTGAAAATACGAAAATTAACTCAGAATTTTATTTCAATTTATTTGTTAGGACCATAGATCGTTATGCAACCAAAGAAATAAGTATGTGATGTACAATATTTGTAATTTTAGCATTTAGGTGTCCTGTAAATTATATTAGGTTTGTAAATTAAATGTGTGTTAAAGTGTTCTGTTTATACAAAGCATCGTAACTTCTCAAATTGGGTTTGTGTAAAAAACCGGGTGACCGGGTAACCGGGTAACTGGGTGACCGGGTACCTAACGTTCCTAGCAGGGTTACAAATTCTTACATAACTTACAGGATTGGTCAAATAACGTCCATATTTCGATATTAGCCATTATCATGACCGTAAATCGAACAAAATAAGAGGAGGAGGAGATCTCTACTAGAAATTAAACAAATGTGAAAGAGTATGCACACACGTATATTGAAACATTAATTGCCGTTTATCTGTCATTTAACGTAAGATGACGTTAGTTGCTATGCTTTATTACCTACGAGTGAGTGATTGACAGGATGTTGATGATTGTTTCCTATGATGGTGATTTCTACTAGATATTAAACATCTGGAGGATATACGCACGTATCTTGAAATGTTAATAGTTGAATGTTTTTTATCTGTCAATTATCATACGATGTACAACTTATGACGTTGGTTGCTTGTTTTATTGCCTGAGTGATTGACAGGGTGATGATTATTTGTTTTGCTAGTTGGTTGGATGGCTTGTCCGTTGAGTTGGAGGCCCTGGTTGGAGGCCATTTGGGTGGTTGGTTGCTTGGATTTTTAAGTGGCACGTTTTAGGCCATTCTATGAAAAAAATCAAATTCCCAACCCTGCTAGGATCGATAGGTACCCGGTCACGAAGTTACCCGGTCACCCAGTTTTTTACACAAACCCTCTCAAATTTTGATACAAGGCATTTTTCATCCACAAACCATAGCCGCATCCATAAACTTAGTAGAACTAGAATTTTGGTTGAGGTTGAAAAGTTAATATTCACTTTTAACAGAGAATGAGCGATTAACTAATACATATTCCCATAAAAATAATCCATACTCTTAGACGGAAGAGAAAATAATAATCAAACGTAATGTGAAAAAAAAACATTTAATTTTTTCCCTTGGTTCATTATTGCAAAGAAAAAATCTGAGCAGTGCTCGAAAATCTGATATCAAACTTAGGTAGTCAAAACTATTTCTAAGAGATAACTGTTTTTATTCCACATGGATGAAATCATATTTATTTTCATCAAATTAATTTTTTAAAACCCTCATCATAGTTTTTGCTTCAAATCAGTTAATTTCATCATCGTACAGAAAATTGTACTACAGTTTTTTTTGACGCTGTACTTTGATGTGATGATTAGGCATGTTTATGAAGTTTATGTTTAGTCCCTCCCCTCTCTACAGAATAATGAAATTATACATACCAATCCAGGCATGTCTCAACATCTTCAGTGGCAAAGACAAGAAATATGTCTTCAATCCGATATGAATCAGGATAATGTCTCCATACATAGTTGCTGCTGTTGAGCTCTATATATTGTCCCTGCACTTTGGAAATTACTACCAGACTGGTAATCCATAGAAAGCACAGGCCATGTACCAACAGTTGCATCTCAGAACTGTAAAATAATTCACTAAGTTATTACAATTTACAATTTGTCTAATTAAAAGGTTCGATGATGGTTCATAATTATAAACAAAAAATCAAACGTTAGTTAAAACAATATATATAAAAGGAGCTTAAAAACTCAAAATTTTGAGTGTCAAAGGTCAAGGTCAAAATTGTGGTCATTTTCGTAAGTTTGACAATTACCACACTACTGTTCAAAATTTGATTTTAAACTTGTGAAGAACAGAACATTTTCTCATCAAAATCAGATGTCAAAAATCATTTTAAATAAAAAGTCTGAATCTAAAGTCTTATTTTAATTTCTCAAATCTAGTTATTCTTCTGAACATGTTTTCTCAATAAAAAGAAGACTTTCGATAAGTCTGATTATATCGTCACTTGGGGTTTGTGACTGGCCTACCCGGAAATTAGGTCAAATATCTGTTATGATAAAAAAAAAATTCTTGATTCTCTTTTCAATGTGTATCTCAGAAAGAGCATTTGAGAGTGTGCTATCTGTTTTTTGATTACTCTTACTGATTTTGAGATAGAGCATCCCAAAAATAGGTCAACAATAAAGTTCTACTAATCCTTTGATATAAGTATTAGTTTGAGAGGAAATTTGCTCAGAATTCTGAATCTGAAATAGAAATTAAGATCCAACTTCTGGTTGACCTTCTATGACCTTTTACTGGGGTCAAACTTTTTAACTCTTTTAGTCTAGCTCTTTTAGTCTTGTAGCCAGACCAAAAATCTTTTATTTTTATTTCAAAATCAAAACGATATTAGAGTAGACTAGTCTACCCACGGGCCTCTGCCAGATTACCTCTTCTTAGTAGTGTTTAGGCTCAATAAATATACTCAAGGGCAAGACACAAAGTCTTCGAAATATTTATATTTCCTTGATTTTGGAGTCAGTTCATCAATAAATATCACATGTCATACCTCAAATGATGCGTACTGTTGTGAGCTTGTGAGCTGGATATTACCGAAGCACTCCATTATCTATACGCTCTGAAAATTTGAAATAAAAGTCCCGGGAAAATTCGATTTACAGCTACAATAATTGATGTCATGCAAACATTCAAACTAATATACATGTATAAAGAAGAGATTACAGGGTAAATGTTGATCACTCAATCATTAGATGGAAAAGATAAAGGTTAGTATGAGCGTCATATTTTTGGGTGGTCATTTTTTGGATGTGCCATTTTTGGTTGGTGTCTTATCTCCTCATTTATTCTTTGAGCCAGAGACATAAAAATATGTTTTATATGTCTCTGTTTGAATCAATACCAAAAGGGGCTGGACCTGGCTCCAGATCTGTGAGTCTACCCTAAAAAGAAACCCAAAATTTTGAGTGTCAAAGGTCAAAATCTTGGTCATTTTTCTAATTTTCACAATTATCACACGAAAGTTTTTGCAAGGAATTGATTTTTATATTCTTCGTATTTCCAACAACTCTCTCACTCGAAGTCAAGATGAAAACTTTTCAAATTCCTCGACTGCACTGATTGAGACTTCCAAAAAAGGGTGATTCTTCGGCCCACGGTTATTATAAAATCTAATCCTAATTATTTACTCACTTCGAGAGCCATGTTAGATTTTGAAACTTACTATTTTTTTCATGGCCTGAGTTCATCGCTAACATACTAAATATAAGAGTTAGCTGACGTTTGGGAGTCTGACTTACCTTCTAAGGGTTAGTACCCGAACCTAATGAAACCATATCACCTTTGTTGCGTCGATGATGATGCATAAACACAGCATTTGATAGAAATTAGTGTAAATGCTTTTCAGACTTTTTCATTTTTCATCAATATTGACTTCCGGAAAGGCGTTGTAGTTATCACGAAATAACGCATTGACCCTTGAACTTTACTTTGTTGATGTGTCAACCAAGCATGTCTGGTGTGAAAATTAAAATAATATTAAGCAATGTTCTACATCCGCAAAGCTAAGTGAAGTAGCCAATATTTAAAATTACCAATTTCAAGTGAAGTACGCAACGAACGAAACTGCGTGATCTGCACTCCCAACGAAATGCTACGTAGAAATATGAGCCGTCTGCTGTATTAGTCGACTAATAGAGTAAGACCTGTTGGTGATGCTTTATAATTTAGACCAAAACATTGGAGAACAAACGAACCTGTAAATCGTGAAAACAACGAACAAATATTCGGTTTTCACATATGTTCGGTAATTTTTCGTATTGAAACTTCCGGAACTTAGGAAGGAAATCATTCATTTTCACGGTCAATGATTTACCTCTTGGATATTGTGGCAAATGCTCCATGGTTGACGGAACAAAGGTGATATGGTTTCATTAAGATTCGGGTTCTAACCTTTAGAAGGTAAGTCAGACTCCCAAACGTCAGCTAACTCTTATATTTAGCATGTTAGCGACGAACTCAGGCCATGAAAAAAATAGTACACTTAGATCTAGATCTAGTCTAGAGTCCATTTCACTGCATCATTTCGTCAGTAGAACGGCAAAAATAAGAAATTGGGAGACCATTGTGCAATAATATATGGAAAAGTATATTCATAATGTACATGAATGACATTTGTATATCTTGGATTGCTTCTAGTCTGGCTTATAAAGTGTGTGGCCTCTTATATTTGGATGTTTCTCTGCCATGTTATTTTCAATAAGATTAACATGGCTGAAATTCTTCAAATTACAAGACGGCACAGGCTTATTGCACAAAAAACTAAAAAATCTGAAATATACAAATGTCATTCATGTACATTATGAATATACTTTTCCATATATTATTGCACAATGGTCTCCCAATTTCTTATTTTTGCCGTTCTACTGACGAAATGAAGCAGTGAAATGGACTCTAGACTAAAACATTATTCAGATGCTGTCCGACAGTCGAAAAATCCATTTATTTTCTCATTTGGCCGTATTCTTAAGTTTTCCCCCCATATATAATAAATTTGGCCCATGACTTATCTACACCTCCTACCTTTCGTCAGAGAGTTGGGTAGAATTATGTCCAATTACATTTTCATCTTCTTAATCCTCTAAATTCAAAAATGGTGGATGATTCAAAAAAATTACATGACATGACAAGTCATTATATTTTGTAAACTTGACCATCATACCCGAGATTGTTAATTACATTTATTACATCGTGTGAAATTAAATATGTTTAGAATAGTTTGTAAACTGGATCATCACATTTGAATCTGTTTATTTATTATTTTGGAGATTTATCACTCCTTCAAAAATTTAACCATAGTTCAGTCATGGAATTCTAGCAAATTCATGGAATCTGACGTCACTTGAACAGAGAGTGAGGAGAAACTTTTCTCAAGAAAATGACTGAGTTTCTTACTGCCTATGGATGCAATTTCGAGAATCTGCCGACTGCCTAGGCGAATAGGCACACATTTGACCTAAAAAAATAAGTCATATAAATATGAGTAAGTAGACCAAATTTATCCCGTACCAGGACTATAGTCCTGTATGGAGCGCACTCTTTTGCCTGTACGATTACAACTTGGGAGAATTATCTACGCCCCTTACACTTAAGATACCTACCCCAATGTATTATAGAACTCAAAATGTAACTTCTAATATATTGGAACCGCCGATTGTCTGGGTATATCGGCAGAACGGGAACATTTTTCTTTTTCATCGAGAGAGATTCCATCACTTTTCAACATGGCGGTTGGATTTAAAAGGGGAATCCCCCATATGACTGTCCCGCATGTGGACCGGAAGTACCAATATGGAGGAATTTGACGGTTGAAATAAGTTAAATGTTACACGCAAATATTGCGATCAAAAACGAAAATGTCTTCGTTCTGCCGATAAACCCAGACAATTGTGGATTCAACTACACGAAAAGAATGCTAAAATACCAAGGAATCTATTGAAGTAGGTATCTGAAGTTTAAGAAGCGTAAAAAATTCTCCCATGTTGTAATCGCACAGGCAAAAGAGTGAGATGTTCACAGGACCATAGTCTGGGAACAGGATAAGACCAAATGATTTGATTGAGGCATTTGAACTTTTTCTAAAAATTGATTTTTTGACTGTCGGACAGCATCTGAATAATGTTTTATATCAAAATCCAAATAGCTTTCGCAGGAAGTAAATCCTTATGCATTATCCTCAACACAACTTGCCTTTTGTAAAACCTTACGTTGAGTTCCTCGTTACAGCATTATTGTTAGATTCCAGGATAGCTGGTAACACTTACACTGGTTCACCGTACAAATTCGAGAAATCGAGAATCAGCGAAAAAACAGAGAATCATGACAAGGATTCAGTTGACAAAATAATTCATATGGATGAATTTAACAAGACATTAAATATTACGTACACGTTCTTTAAAATAAGTATTACAATAATCAATTTTAAATAACATAGAATTGGATATTTTAGGCATGAATATAAGCAAATTTGTGTATTAAAAGATGAGAATAGCTCTTGTCTTCATATGACGATGCGATAAAAATGCGAACGATCTCTATATTCTAGCAAGTGTTTATCGGGCATCGATCACGTTTAGGTCAGTTACTGACTGTGTAGGCCTACTTTGATGAAATTTCATGACCATATGCTATTTTCAGATGATTAGCATTTCTCATCCACACCAGAGACATAAAAAACAATTAAAAATAAGCTGGAGCTTCTAAAAACAAACAAGTCACCCGGGCCAGACAAGATAAAACCCCGCATATTAAACGGAACTCAGGTGTACCATATGCAGACCTCTATACCTCATATTCAAGATGTCAACAAATTCTGGAACGCTGCCTCAAGATTGGAAACAAGCTAATATTTCACCGATATTTAAAAAGAGGAAGAAAAACCTATCTACCAATTACAGGCCAGTAAGTTTAACGTCCATAGTATGTAAGATACTTGAATCCATTATTAGAGAAAGGATCCTGTCACACTTATCAGAAAACAACCTTTTGACGCAATGCCAGCATGGCTTCCTACCGTGTCGATCATGTGTAACCAATCTCTTGACGACTCTTGAAAAATGGACTGAAGTTCTCGATAGTGGTAGCAATATAGACGCAATTTACCTAGACTTTAAGAAAGCATTTGACAAAGTCCCGCACGAGTGTCTTATAAAGAAAATTGAAAATCTTGGAATTATGGGTAATGCCCTCCAGTGGTTGAAATCCTTCCTCGGAACAAATACAGGAAATGATCAACTCGACCCCGCGAATCGAGCCTCAACAGACAATGCTGAGAGTGGAAATTCACAATTAAGGAAACAACGAGTAATAATCAATGGAGAAGCATCGTCATGGAAAGATGTCACTTCCGAAATCCCGCAGGGAACCGTTTTAGGACCGGTAATGTTTCTTGTTTTTGTAAATGACATACCCCAGACTGTTAACAGCCCTCTGATAATGTTTGCAGACGATACAAAACTGTACCGGGAAGTGAACACCACAGATGACTGCGACGAGCTGCAGGAAGACATCCAATCCCTAATGAATTGGACAAATGATTGGCAACTTCAATTTTACAGTGAGAAATGCAAGGTCCTAAGAATTGGTAAATCTTCTCCAGACTACAGTTACACTATGGGTAATACAGTTCTCCGGGAATCAGAATGTGAAAAAGACTTGGGAATGATGGTGGCGAATGACCTAAAGAACAAAACACACATACTGATGGTGGTAAAAAAGGCCAACCAAATTCTTGGTCTTATCCGAAGAACTTTCCAGTTTTTGGATCCTTCAAATATGATGATGTTATATAAGGCTATGGTCAGACCACACTTAGAATATGCAAACACTGTATGGTCACCATACTTAATACAGGATATTGAAGCTATTGAAGCAGTCCAGAGGAGAGCTACGAGATGCATACCAGGATTCCAAGATAAAGAGTACTCCCAATCACTTGTGTTCAGGCGCTTAAGAGGGGATATGCTTGAAACTTGGAAAATCCTCAATGAAAAGTATGACATTCCAATTAGCAATATATTACCTCTATCTAGAGGCTGACGGTAATTCCGGTTATACGGTTTCGGTACGGAATTGAGCATTTACCGGTATTGAAATTATTAACCGGTTAACCGACGATAATCTCCGGGGAAATAAAAGACACGTCGTTTTTTAATTATTTCGTTTAATTTCCACTTTCACGATGTGTACATTTGCATAGACATTTAGATGTCTATGTTTGGCAGTTCAGGTGTGATTTCCATGTTTGGCAGTTCAGGTGTGATGTCCATGTTTGGCAGTTCGGGTGTCGTAGCTTCATGCTCAGGCTCAGATTTAATTATTGTAGTTATGTTTGGCAGTTCCGGTGTAGTTGTAGTGTCAACGTCAGATCCAAGGAGGATTGGAAGCCAGGGTTCCAACTCGATATTCTTTAATCTCCACGCATGCGTCATTTGCTATTCGTGTCTGTATAATTTGTACGACTGCATGGAGAATGACCCGATACTCTCCAACAAAGCTATCGCTAGGTGATTGTTTTGCAGAATATCGGTGTTGCATTCTGGGAGCCAATCCTCCTTGCGTCAGATCCATAAACTGAATTATGTTTGTAATAGTCATTTACGAACAACAAGGCATTGACAACCTCAGGTTGAAGTCGTGCCCGTTTGGAAGTGATGGTGCCAGCTGCACTGAATTGGCGTCTACTTGACACGGATGACACAGGAATATAGCATTTCGTATAATATTTGTAACTTTAATATTTTTTGATAGTATCTGAGCTTTTAATTGTGAACAAAATAAAGTACAGCCTCTCTGCTAAAGTGTTTTAGCAAACAAATAAATAAAAGAATCTGAACTCCGGTGCCTATAAACTAAATATATATTAACATACGTTAGCCATTAGAGTCCTTATCATCGTTTTGTAAGTCGGATGTAGGAAGGTTGCTATAACGTATGCATATAGACTTGAGAAGCTACGGAGAGAGTTAGGAACAAAGTGAGGGGGTGGCAGCGCATTGGCATTTTATCTTACATATTTTTACCGGTATTTCGGTAACGGTACGGTTATTAGCATGACGGTTACCGGTACTGGTTTCTAGTACCGTTGCGACCTCTACCTCTATCACACAACATAGGAAGGACCAGAGGCAACAATATGAGAATCTCGAAAAAACAAAGCAGATTGATTTTAAGACAAGGATTCTTTACCCAAAGGGTAGTGAACACTTGGAATTCCCTCCCCCAAGAAGTAGTGGAAGCTGATGACCTGAATCACTTTAAGAGTAAGCTTGACAGACTATGGAGCGACCACCCAGCCAAATACAACTATAGAGCCTTGAAGTAGACACAAGTCAATTAATTGGGGTCAATGCTAAACAATTATGCTCATTTTTATCTTAAGAACGGCCAAAGGTCAAGACGACCTAAGCAGTGAAAACTATAACTATAACTAATAAGGTAAATAGCGAAGAGTCAAAAGGCCCACTTATTGAGGCCTTAGACTTTTTGGGCCGAATACTTTATTTTTCGACAATTTAGCCTAAAATTAAAAATTAGGCCCAAAAGGCCAAATTATTGTCAAACAAAAAAAATGTACCTTATATTTTTTAAAACGTCTTGAAATGTGCCCCTTGTTATCTTTCAGATCCGCCACTGTTCCAATATAGAAGAATTCGTGGCATGTTTGGAGACTCCTGGAAGTTAAACTGCCTCCTAAAGGGGGCCGTCATCCCCCTTTTTCAAGTTACTGGCAACATTCTCCAAGTTAACATACACAGTATTACAGCAGAGTCTCATATCTCCGATTACAGTTGGCGATCATCTCCCTGTGCCGTCCGTTTCTGGTAACACTTTCAAACAAGACATTAACATGACAAAATGTCACCACCTAAAACAATTTGGTCAATTTAAAGCAAGTTGTAAAATACCTCTTTGACTTTTTTTGACATTGAGAAGGTCATTGAAGGTCAAATGTAAAGTCAGATTTGAACTTCTGAGAACATGTAGATGATTTTGAAAAAAAAAATTAAGTAAATTTGAAGCAAGTTGAAGAAAGACCTTTTTGACCTTGAAAAGGTCATTGAAGGTCAAATGTCAAATCTAAAGTCAGATTTGAACTTCTGAGAACATGTAGATGATTTTGAAAAAAAAATTAAGTAAATTTGAAGCAAGTTGAAAAAAGACCTTTTTGACCTTGAAAAGGTCATTGAAGGTCAAAGGTCAAATCTAAAGTCAGATTTGAACTTCTGAGAACTTGTAAAGTCAAATTTGAACTTCTGAAAAGATGTAGATGATTTTGAAAAAAAAATTTGGTCAATTTGAAGCAAGTTGAAAACAGATCTTTTTGACCTTTTTTGACTTTGAGAAGGTCATTGAAGGTCAAATGTCAAATCTTAAGTCAAATCTAAAGTCAGATTTGAATTTCTGAGAACACGTAGATGATTTTGAAAACATTTTTTAGTCAATTTGAAGCAAGTTGAAAACATACCTTTTTGACCTTTTTTGACCTTGAGAAGGTCATTGAAGGTCAAAAGTCAAATCTTAAGTCAGATTTGAATTTCTGAGAACACGTAGATGATTTTGAAAAAAAATTTAGTCAATTTGAAGCAAGTTGAAAACAGACCTTTTTGACCTTTTTTTGACCTTGAGAAGGTCATTGAAGGTCAAATGTCAAATCTAAAGTCAGATTTGAAGGTCAAATGTCAAATCTAAAGTCAAATCTAAAGTCAGATTTGAATTTCTGAGAACATGTAGATGATTTTGAAAAAAATTTAGTCAATGTGAAGCAAGTTGAAAAAAGACCTTTTTGACCTTGAGAAGGTCATTGAAGGTCAAATGTCAAATCTAAAGTCAGATTTGAACTTCTGAGAACATGAAGATGATTTAGAAAAAAATTGAAGTCAATCTAAACAGTATTTGTTAAGTTATTGTTAGGTTGTTGACCTTTTTTGACCTTGAGAAGGTCATTGAAGGTCAAAAGTCAAATCTTAAGTCAGATTTGAATTTCTGAGAACACGTAGATGATTTTGAAAACATTTTTTAGTCAATTTGAAGCAAGTTGAAAACATACCTTTTTGACCTTTTTTGACCTTGAGAAGGTCATTGAAGGTCAAATGTCAAATCTAAAGTCAGATTTGAATTTCTGAGAACATGTAGATGATTTTGAAAAAAATTTAGTCAATGTGAAGCAAGTTGAAAAAAGACCTTTTTGACCTTGAGAAGGTCATTGAAGGTCAAATGTCAAATCTAAAGTCAGATTTGAACTTCTGAGAACATGAAGATGATTTAGAAAAAAATTGAAGTCAATCTAAACAGTATTTGTTAAGTTATAGGAAGTTGTAAGAAATTGTTACAGACGCCGGACGCCAACCTCCAACCACCAACCGCCGGACGCCAACCGCCGTCGCAAAAAAACGGAGACCATAACAATATGTCACCACTTTTGGTCTTGATTTCTATTAAAGTCAATACAACAAAACACAACACAACCAAAATATGTGAATATAAATACAATAGCTTAACCAAATGTTGGCGGCACATATACAGCAAGGCTAAAGAGGAGGGAAAACCCAAGAATTTAGATATGACAGTTTGTTACGTATTGGAACGTACTGGGATACAGTGGCAGATGCATTGCCTTGGATGAAAATAGGATCACGCGAAGGATATATTAACTGGAACGTCAGCATCGGTACGACTCGGAGAACAAGGCTAACTGGTTCTTTAATTTAAAACGGATTATTACCAATGATCTGAATTTACAGTTTGATGACCCTTTGGATACGATTATGAATAAATTGATTGGTGTTCAGTTCACCTCGTGGAGTAATAAAATATGGAATGATACCCGACGGGATCCTAGACAACGTAACAAATTGAGAACATTTAGATTGTTAACCCTACTATCACACCAAACTAGTTCTCACTACGTTCTCGAAAACTGGCTTCAACTGTGTACGAACGGACTGGACGTACTAAGAACCGTTTGGGATCTATTTACAAACTTGATCGAACGTACTCGAACGGGTAGGTCCTCTAGAACTTAGACAATGCTCAAAATGTTCTCGTGGTCGTCACGTTCTACAATTAGAACGAGTGACAACGTACTAACGACGAGCTGGACGTACTACGAACGGAACCGTAGTACTTCAATCCTACTAGGGACGTTTTAACAACGAGTTGACTGTCTGAGGACGTGTTGAGAACGAGGTAGAACTCATTGCAAACGGGTTTAAACTGATTAAGAACGTATTTAACACTGCTTATGAACGAGTTAGCAAAAATATAGCTATCACACCAAACAAGTTGCCACTGCGTTCTTCAAAACTGGTTTTAAACTGTGTGCGAACGGAATGAACGTACGTGCAACTTTCTAAGGTCTATTTACGAACTTTATGAACGTTCTCAGACGGGAATGTGATTTTAGAATTTTGAATCGATTCAAAATTCGATTGCGACCATACCGTTCCGTTATCAGGTCATGATGACCTTCTAGACTAAGGGACGCGTTCTACGGCGTTGCACACCGACGTGGTGCGACCTGAACGAACTGCGAACGAGATGGACGTATTGAAGACTGTTTAAGAACGAAGAAGCTAATTATTTCAGACATATTTCCCGACCACAGCCAGATTGAGCCCGTTTTACGACGTTTTCGTAGGACTGGCAAGAACGGGTAAGAACGAGTTTGGTGTGATAGGGGGGTTAAGAACGACTGTAGGCTAATTGTGAACCATATCTGAAGTTGAGCCTGTCTATCATGGACCGGAGACCGTTTGCTTCACTCAGATTACGATATGGCGTAGCCCCGATTAGGATCGAGACAGGAAGATATGAACGTTTGCCCCTTGAGGAGAGACAATGTGTTATGTGCAATGATGGAATAGAGGATGAATACCATATATTGATGACTAGCCTTGCCCAAGTCGGTCTATTTTACTTATCTTGATTTCTATTATGATAATTGATAATTCAAGATCAGATAAGTAAAAAATTACCGACTTGGGCAAGGCTAATTGATGACGTGTAATATAGTACCCCCTAAAATATTTTCCTAGGGGGGTAAAAACGCTAAAAATCAGTGTCATCGCCATCCCACAACCTAAACGTGAACGGGAAATTGTATCGGCGATTGGTCATACGTATAGGTTGGCGTTTCAATTATATATGCTGACTAATTAATATATATGCTGACTAATTAACTCGTGCGGTAATAGAATTTCACTGTATTGATATCAATACTTGGTACTGAAGTTATTTAGGCCTATCGTTTCTGATTCATATGGTTTCTATTTATTCTATATAGTTTCTATATAGTTTTCATATAGTTTCTTATTTTCTATAGTTTCTAATTCATTCCGTCACATGTTTGGATTGTCGGTGTTTTTGAACGTGGGGCTTCTTGCACGACGCACATTGACACGCAACGCTAACAGTTCAATGATACAAATCACGCCCCAGACACCAACAAGAACCCACGATGCTGCAACCAGGGAATTCATCGGTTTTGTGTAGTTCACGTCATGGGCATCTGCAAAACTCATCGTCAGCTCACTTTTCATTTTAAGATGGATATCATTACATGTCATGGAGTTCAGAGCAGAAGTGATGTCATCTTCGGATAAGTATGTCCCGCTTTTTTCGGCAACTGAATTCAAAACATAGCATCATGCAAAAGTATACTAATCTCTTTTTGCCTCTTTTGAACTATTCCTGTTTAGAACTACGAAACCGTTTTGGTTATATAATAAGTTCTCATAAAATGTTCCCTTCACATTCTTTTGACTTAACTTGTTTAAAATATATCTTTGTCTTCGTTACTGTTAAGCTAACTAGCCTCTGCGCTTAGGATACATTAACATGTTTGTAAAATCTTAATTTTACTCACCCAAATATGACAGAAAGGATACTTTATTTATTACACAATTACTCGTGCGGCAATAGAATTTCATGTACAAATAAAAACTTTTAGAGACATTTTAATAGAACTTATGATTATGGATACCCTCTTATGTCATTTATGTTTTATGGCAGGTGAGAATTAATAAAAAGATAATAATGAAATTATAAAAATAGAACACATTTGTGTATGACCCGAATGCATTACCATAAACTATATACAATTTGTACATGTACCTTCTTCAATTGTCTGTCGCATGGTTGGTTTTGAAGACTCCACGAGGGAGGAACACCAAGCATTATATCCCGACGTTGCGATCACTCCAGATATGAATGCGAAGAGAAGAACAATGCATGAAAATATCAGCATTCCCAAACTCACCATCTTGGTCTGCATCATGTCGACAATCATTTTTCGTCTGATTATGATTATCAAGAGAATGATTCCCAGTATGAGTGGCAGTGCAATGGTTGCAATTGAGTTAATTGCAATGATGAAGTTGCATGTTGCATTACTGCTTTCATCGAATTGAAAAAGTGGCACGTTTTCCCATTTGCCAATCACCGTTGTTTGTCCATATAGAATACATACGCCGTTTGGATAAAGTGTCTTCTGATAGAATGCTCCACTGGCGATTGCCATGGCAACAGCGGCTGTGAGACCAAGGATCGCTGATAAAACATAGAGGACGATGCGGACAACAAGCCATAGCGGGGCTGATATACATTCACACATGCAATCCATGCTCATTTTTACTGCTGAAAAAAGATCACAATGAATTTCAATATCTTATTTGACCTTGAGATTAGCTATAGCCTTTAATATCGATTCTCATATTGTGATAGTTGACACAGAAATTGGGATTTGAATTTATTAGATTTGAGTCTTGTTGTTTTCACATATTTATGTGCATTTTATCATGATTTGTTTTGATTGACATTTTCAGTGACGATGTAAAAGTTCGAAAATCCAAAATTAATAGAAGGACCTACCTTGGTATTTAAATTGTTCACTTTTTCGTAGAATAAACTCGGAGATTACAATTGGCCCGGCGATGATTCAATATATTGCCAGATTCCAAGTCTTTTTGCATTATATGATCGTGATATTCTATGAATATACTCACTGTGAAACTGTTGGTCTTTACATATCATTTTGTGCTGAGCAAATTGCACAATATTAAACCGACGTATTGATCAGTGCCGAGTCACGTTAGTTTCCCTTTGCATTTGTTCGACTTCACTTAAAAGAGAGCTTCTAGACTCTGCGCGCATGGGTAGGTGTTAGCTGTTAGTGCAAGTCAGTGAAAATTAAAGTCAATCAAACCTAAAAAACAAGCAGGTAAATGACCACAATGTAATTTTATATCGAACAATACATTTATATTTTAAGTGCAAGCCATTTGGTTAATTATAAGCGTCAGTCATATTTACTCTACGGCGGTCGCACGGCGGCCGTAGATTCACAAAATCAATATAGAAAGTCTACATCGTACTGCCTCTTGTCCCTCTTTTTATGCTCAGCTGTATCATATTACTCTCGATTTTGGGAAGTTTTGGGCGCTGTACGGTTGCCGTAGATCAAATGTGACTGAGGCATTATTTAGATCGCTCCTGTTTCACAAGTTCAAAGTTGAAATGCATATGATATTGCATTGATACACTTGCATTTTCATTGTCTTGCTTCCCCAGTTGTCACTTTGACGTATGGTCAAAGTAACAATAGAGAGTTTAAGCTAGCAATATTTTTCACAACGTAACCGTGAACGCAAAGCCAATGGATCAATACAGTAATGTACATGTATATAGCGCGCATACAAAACAAGCGCTACTTACACTTCAAATATCCGATCAGCTCCAGAGCTGTGTTTAGAACGGGAGATTTGCAATTTCGCGTCGGTGTCAACGCGAGTCATTATTATACTCATGTCTCTTGAATACTATGCCAGCAATTTTGATTTTGATGCACAGTATGAAGCTTGACCGAATGATTATTTATGTGAGAAAACTACACGCATTTGTATTGGTCAACTTTTGGGTACAGGTTGACGTTTCGATTTTATATGCATTGCTCATATATGTTTTAGCTCCAAATATCTTACGAAACCAAATGTACCATAAAAAACTAGCTGTATAATCATCAATGGCACATTACATGATGATGTATAGTCTATGCAACGGACTAAATAAACACTGTAACCGAATGATTATTTATGTGAGAAAACTACATGCATTTGTATTGGTCAACTTTTGGGTACAGGTTGACGTTTCGATCTTATATGCATTGCTCAAAGTCTCAATTATGGAGAAACTGCACAATCAGCTCGAGCTGCAATTTACTTTTGTTACGTTGGTTCTTCATCTTGATCAAATTTTAGAATATTTTGGGCTCATATCATTCCTTGGAATGTCATATCTATTTTCCAAAAATACACCAAGTAGGCTTATATACTTTATTTGGGGAAAACCGTAAAGATTTTTACAATAATGCAATCATTTGTCTAAAAATGTTTACCATTCTTATTATTTGGGAGAATTTAAATATTTTTACATAACATATCACGGATCTTATTTTTAGCCTTGTAAGGCACATTCGTAGATCGGGCTTGTAATTTTCTCACTCCCCTGGATCCGATTTTGCCTTGGAGAGTTTGAGTTTGTTTTCGATTTGATTTGGTCAGTAATTGATTGTACATAAGTTTGTTGAGTTGCAGATTCACTCCTGACGACTTACGTAATGCCCCCCCCCCCCATCCCCCCTACCAGCTTTAATCCTATTTTTATTTAGATTTTATTTAATCATGGATATCTAATAAGAAAAACATGTTTTCTTGTGTCCATTAGAACCCTGCAGACACACATAAACAATAAAATATGTGACATATCATAAAATTAGAAATTTGTAAAAACAGTACATTAACACGTGTAAAAATGGAACATGTATATGGCTAGACTAGGCTATAAAATAAGCATTTAAAGCTTACCATATTCTATGGCCACTGAGTGTTGAATTGGCTAGAGACTCGAGTAAAGCCTTGCCTTCTTTCTTCTTGAGTAGGCTTATAGGCCCATTATGCAGCCTAAAATTACAACTGACGATGACAAGGTGCTGCTGCACTCATTTAATTAAAATCTGGGAGTGCAAGAAATACCTGGATGAATCTTTCTCCCCTTTTTGGATCTCATGTTGATGTAGGCCTAGTATAAACGCGAAGCAGCGCGTGATTGCCTGTGTCGGAGTTTGACTCAATAGACGAAATTAAATAGCGTTCGGTAATTTACCGTATTTTACATCCTTCGAAGATGAAACAAAATACACCAACTAAGAGAGTGGATGTTGTAATAATAGGGGCAGGATTCGCAGGTATAACACATAATATAATTAAATGAAACGAAAAGCTTCAATTTGGTAACGTTCGATCACCGTCTAGTGAAGTTTATTTCGAATAAATATGATTTATTTTCTGCTGTGCAAAGTTCAAATCCCCCTCCCAATTAGCCTAGATCTAGAGTCCATTTCACTGCTTCATTTCGTCAGTAGAACGGCAAAAATAAGAAATTGGGAGACCATTGTGCAATTATATATGGAAAAGTATATTCATAATGTACATGAATGACATTTGTATATCTTGGATTGCTTCTAGTTTGGCTTATAAAGTGTGTGGCCTCTTATATTTGGATGTTTCTCTGCCTTACTCACTTCGAGAGCCATGTTAGATTTTGAAACTTATGGCTCTCAAACGGAGAAGTGAACAGCTGATCAATAGCAGTGGCGTAGCTACGTGTACGCCAAGTACGCCCAGGCGTACTCTTAAGGAAAAATAAAATTTACCTGATTAATTGTGATGAAAAATAAATGTTCCAGCTGATAACGTCATAGATTAATATAGACGTGCCCTCTACTACCCGTTCCTTGATCATATGAACGCTGAAATCCGTGATGTACTCGTCCATCCTAAAGAGAGATTTGAAGCACAAAATCTAATTCCAGGCAATCTGCCAAATTTGAACGTTGGGAACTTGTTCGACGGATTCGAAACACACTTTGAGGCTGGAGATGTACAAGAGCTTCAAAATGAAGTAACACGGTGGAGCCATAAATGGCAACAAGTTGCTCAAGGGAACATCCCAGCAACTCGTACTGACACTATTCAACAGACCCCCCAGCCTCTTTACCCCGATGTCTACACGTGTTTGGTCCAGCTGCTAACATTGCCAGTATCCACTTTCGTGGCTGAACGAAGCTTTAGCAGTTTGAAACGCATTAAGTCATACTTGCGTTCCACAATGAACGAGGAAACACTTTCTTCCTTGGCCATGATACATATCCATAGGGAACAGGATATAAACATTGATACTGTTATTGACATGTTCGCAAATGCTAAAAAACAGAAAGATAAAATTTACTCTATAGAATCACGTACAGATTGTTAAGATCCGAAATGGAGTTGAGACGGTCGTGTAACTGTTCTTTTATTGTTAATCATCTTGTGAGCTAGATAAAAACAAACACAGAAAAAATAATAATATTTCATGGAGAATGACCACAAAAGCTTAAAACAATGAGCCTCATACATACAGTTTTAGGTAGCCTAAAAAATAAAATCGCCTTGATAGACGGCTTCGATCGCCGATGGCATGATTATATAGAATCTGTCTATTTTGTTTCCCGAATATTATATGTTAATACAGTTAATTCATTCCCTTTAAAAAGCTATGTCAAAATGATCAAACAATACATATTTCCTTCATTGAATTAAGCCGTGTTTAGTGTGTCCCCTATCTTCTGAACACCCGGGATCTTCCTATTTTATGGAACCATCGTTTTGTTAATTTTGATAAAACCGGGAAATCATACGGGCGTACACTCGCAAAATGGGCTAGCTACGCCTCTGAATAGTGACCTTTGAAATTGAATTAAGTCGATCCGCGGCTTACTTTTGGTCTCTAACTGTGTCTTACATCAGTATCATCAATCCGTGTAAGTATTGGAGCGCTGGAGTACTTCTTTTTCGATCAAGACTTGTAAATTGTTCATCGAGTTAAAGTTTTACAGACCTATTTCCAATATGGCGGTTTGCTAGGTGCGAGATACGCAACGAACGAAATGAATTTTGAGAATTAGTTAGGTTCGGACAACCTCCGGAGATTTACGAAAATGTCCGAGCAGAAACCGCCATATTGGAATTTGGCAGTTAAACGATTCACTCGACTAACAATTACAAGTCTTGATCGAAAAAGAAGTACTCCAGCGCTCCAATACTTACACGGATTGATGATACTGATGTAAGACACAGTTAGAAACCAAAAGTAAGCCGCGGATCGACTTAATTCGATTTCAAAGGTCACGATCATTGAGCTGTCCAAATGCTCCGTGGGAAAGCTATTATATCAAAATCCAAATAGCTTTCGCAGGAAGTAATCTCTGCCATGTTATTTTCAATAAGATTAACATGGCTGAAATTCTTCAAATTACAAGACGGCACAGGCTTATTGCACAAAAAACTAAAAAATCTGAAATATACAAATGTCATTCATGTACATTATGAATATACTTTTCCATATATTATTGCACAATGGTCTCCCAATTTCTTATTTTTGCCGTTCTACTGACGAAATGAAGCAGTGAAATGGACTCTAGTCTCACTCTAGACCATCTAGGCCTAGCTACTTATTCCAGACTGTCTTTGATCATCATCATCGTCAACATCAGGTTACATATGATACAAACATTTACTGATCACTACATCGCATTTCATCTCAATATCAAGACTGACTGTGTACCCCCCCCCCTCATCCATCCCCCTGTGTACTTCATCTTGTTGTGGGAAGGTGAAATATTTTATACACAGGCTTGAGGCTAGATTTCAAATTCCAATACAAATCCTTCCTTGAGGAGAGGATATACGTTCAACCTATGAACTCCTGTAGCGCTATCTAATTCAGGAACACTACATATACATTGTACCAAAGATTGCTGTTACTTTGTTAAAGAAATCAATCAGGAATCATATATCAAGGCGCTTCCTAGTGAGGACTAAGCTGATTCGGTACAATTACAGTACTGTCAACCCCCAAAGATTTTCTCGCGGGACAGATTTTTTAGACCCAGTGCCCAAAATTCGCGGGATTTTGCGGGACATCTACTAAATTGGCGGGATTTCGTGGGACATTTAAGGGATTTGCGTGATTGCGCTTATAGGCCAATTTTTTTTTATCAAATTCGCGGGATTTCGCGGGACCATTCGAGGGACAAACACCCTAATTGCGGGACAGTTAACAGGTTTACCAGCAAAAACTTCATAGAGGGACAGATTTTCTAGAAAAAGTGCCCTAAATTTGCGGGATTTCGCGGGACATCCACCTAAATTTGCAGGATGTCCCGGGACATTCAAGGGATTTGCGTGATTTGGACTAATGTAAAAGCGTGTAAAAGTACTTGAATCAAACTTTCAGATACTGATTAATCAAATAATGCATCGTTACATTGTAACTTAAATAAACGTCAACATAATTTCACAAAATACGCATAGAAATATTATTAAACTTTATTGTAATTTATCAAAAACAAAAACCATGCTTGAGGTGTGAGTATCGTAATCTAACACGAAATTCAAAAATTTGGAACAATACTTTGCACTTCTCTGCTTCTGGCGTCGTGACCAACTACTACCATACTGTAGGCATGGGCTTTCAATTGAAAGCCCATGATATAGGGGTTCGATTAATCTACATCAAATTATAGGGAATGAGGTTACTTTTCTAGATAGGGTTTGTAGAAAAAACCGGGTACCGGGTAGTAAATCCTCCATGCTGGGTTCAAACTTTTTTCTTTTTTTTTATTCCTTCATTCTTATTTATGTACATGTAAATGTAAATATAAATATGTACATGTAAATGTAATGCAATAATAATATAAATAATATTTACGTAGACAAACTTGGTACCCGGTCGAAAAACCGGGTACCCAAAAAACGAAATATACGAATATACAACATAATTAGATCATTAGAATTAGATTTGTTTTGAATTTACAAAAATGTAACTTCCTTCAAAATTGAGCTAGAAGCTTCAAATAAAAAGCATTTTAAGCCTCTTTTCTTCCTCTATCATCATGGTCATATTTCCATTGGTAATGAAGGGGGAGGGGGTGCGATCGCACCATCACACCCTCTCCTGGCTACGCCAATGACATTGTAAGACGATTTGAATAACAAGTCAAATCAATTTTACTCTATTTTCAATGAGTTCGTATGTTGGTACGTGAACATAACCAATGAAAATATGGTCATGACGATAGAGGAAGAAAAGAGCCTTAAAATATGCTTTTTATTTGAAGCTTCTAGCTCAATTTTGAAGGATGTTACATACATTTTTGTAAATTCAAAACAAATCTTACACGTTTTCTGATAATCTAATTATGTTATACTCGTATATTCGTATTTTTCATTTTTTGGGTACCCGTTTTTTGACCGGGTACCGGGTACCAAGTTTGAACCCAGCATGGAGGATTTACTACCCGGTACCCAGTTTCTTCTACAAACCCTTTCTAGATATCAGCGTCCATTTATTGTAACTCGCGTTTGCTAACATTTGCTCAGTTCTGAGATGAAGGCCACACGGATAGTAAAAAGGCCAACATTGGAACTATTTGTGACCTACATCCCTATTGTCGTAATTAAAATGAAAGTTGAACCCTTCCTCTTTATTTTGATACCAAACAACAGCATGCTAGGTACTTGAAATTAGGTAAACTTTACTCCTCAAAAGTGCAAAAACTTAGCTTCTTATATAAGATAAGATAATCACCATATAGGGGATTGCAACAATTTCGGAAATTCGCGGAGGTCGAAAGCCACATTTGCGGGACTTCGCGGGACATTGCGGGACACGCGAATTAGCCTAATTTTGATCGAATTCGCGGGATAATCCCGCCATTCGCGGGACACTTGACAGCTCTGCAATTATTATGTTCCGGGTATTATGTATTCTATCCAGACTGTACTGTACAAAGGATTGAATATACTCAATTCAGACTGTCATACTGTATTCATGAGCTTGAGTATACTCATTCAGACTCTCCTAGCTGTTTATGAGCTTGAGTACAGTCCACACTCTTATTTATGACTTTGAGTATCCTCAATCCAGACTGTCTTCTTTATGGTCTTGAGTATACTCATTCAAACTGTCTTGTTTATGAGCTTGAGTACAGTCCACACTCTTATTTATGACCTTGAGTATACTCAATCCAGACTGTCTTCTTCATGGTCTTGAGTATACTTAATCAAGACTGTCCTGTTAGTAAGCTTGAATATACTCAATTCAGATTTTCCTGTTTATAAATAGGCTTGTTTATATTCTTCAGTATTCTCAATCAAGACTGTTCTGTTTATGAGCTTGAGTACAGTCCACACTCTTATTTATGACTTTGAGTATACTTAATTCAGACTGTCCTGTTAGTAAGCTTGAATATACTCAATTCAGATTTTCCAGTTTATAAATAGGCTTGTTTATATTCTTGAGTATTCTCAATCAAACTGTCCTGTTTATAGGTTTGAGTATTCTCAATCCAGACTGTCTTGTTTATATTCTTGAGTATTCTCAATCAAGACTGTCCTGATTATATTCTTGAGTATTCTCAATCAAGACTGTCCTGTTAATATTCTTGAGTATTCTCAATAAAGACTGTCCTGTTTATATTCTTGAGTATTCTCAATAAAGACTGTCCTGTTTATAGGTTTGAGTGCTGCTAGGCTCCTCAATGAAGAAGGTCTGGATGTTGTTCTCATAGAAGCAAGGGATAGAGTAGGGGGGAGAATACACACAATCAGGGTGAGTAGATGCAATGCCATAGCAACGATATCTTAAGGGGAGGGGGTTGCAATGAGGTTATCAATGAGGCAAAAAACTAGGATTTCACATTGGGATACAGCGAGGCCTGAATGGATGGCTTCTGTATAGCCCTACAAGCTTCAAAGTGAATCCTCTTTCAAAGTTTCAAATGTTGGGCCGACTCCGGATTCTATCCCATTTACTAAAATTTATTTCTATTTAGGACCCTGTTATAAACTACACAGAGGTAGGAGGAGCCTATGTTGGGCCTACTCCAGATTCTATCTCATTTACTACAATTTAATTCTCTTTTAGGACCCTGTTATAGGCTACACAGAGGTAGGAGGAGCTTATGTTGGACCCACTCCAGATTCTATCCTATTCACTACAATTAAATTCTCTTTTAGGACCCTGTTATAGACTACGCAGAGGAAGGAGGAGCCTATGTTGGGCCCATTTCAGATTCTATCCTATTTACGACAATTTAATTCTATTTCAGGTCCCTGTTATAGGCTACACAGAAGTAGGAGGAGCCTATGTTGGGCCCACTCCAGATTCTATCAGTATCCCATTTACTACAATTTAATTCTATTTCAGGACCATGTTATAAACTACACAGAGGTAGGAGGAGCCTATGTTGAGCCCATTCCAGATTCTTTCTTATTTACTGTAATTTAATTCTATTTCAGGACCCTGTTATAGGCTACACAGAAGTAGGAGGAGCCTATGTTGGGCCCACTCAGAGACGCATGCAAAGACTCGCTAAGGAATTTGGAATGGAATGGAAAATTGTTCGAGAAGTAGAGAAGACAGTCCTCAGTTCAAAGGTTAGCATTTCAAATTGTAGCGGGCTATAGACATTGGCAGACCACGTCCACACTACATTGTGCCAAAATACAATCCTATTTGAAAAATGGGCCTCAGACATGTTTTGGTCATATTTTTCACATGTGGGAGATGATTGTCCTTTTGTCAACTTCAAGATCTGCCCTAAATGAAAATAAGGTATAATATGAGGTTATATAATGGTTCTTTCTGTATCACGCGGTAGGATCTCTTCGGGACGTATCGAAACCACTCCGTCCCGAAAAACCGTTAATTTGAATTTAAAACCTACCCCAGTGTTTGAAAATCAAGGATTGCGAGTCTCACACTTCACCGTTTTTCTTCAAACTTGTTCCGTACAAAGCTTCACAGAAATACCTTTCAGTCGATACATTGTTTTCGTGTACAAAGTACCTCGTTTTAGCGGCGTTTTGGTCCCCAGCTGTGAGATAAAGCAAATTTTCATAACTTTCAACTGTAAGTCAAGTTATCTCGCCAGTCTTTTACCCATTCTCGCCCATAATTTCAGAATGGACTCCCATTACAACCTTCCATCGCTACGTCTTGATTTTTGGGCATCAAACGCAGCAGTTTCTAAATCATCCACACATCTCTTCAAATTTGACCAATACGCCCCGTCATCTTCCACTACGCCCCGCCGAGTCTATCACTTTACACGTAGAGTTGCATTCTAAAACAATTTGTCCATCGATGTGTCCGTTTGTAGGTTGCCATTGTCGATTCTAAATACCAATCGGATTGTGTTTTAAGATTTACCCATTCTTGTCCATTTTCAATATACCTATAATAGGGTGGTCCAAAATCTCCCTAAAATTTAGATTTCCCGATATTGCAATATAAAGATTTAAATTACTGAACAACTGAAAATATTTTTAAGAAACGTTTAAAGTGCCCTATCCTTGAAAAAATGTGAAAATGCGAAAGGATGGGTGATGTCAATTATATTATTTTCAGCATAACGTTAGAAACATGTATCATTTTATATGGTACACGTTTCATAATGTAATCCAATGGAATCATACAGAAGAAAGGTTGACACACAACAGTTAAAATCTTTATATTACATTATCAGACCAAGTCAGTAGATGTTGTTTATATACCAATTAGTGTTGTATGATGATGCATTCTTTATATGAATCTAGAAACGTTTTTGTGCCAATATTGCTCAATTTTTATAACATCTCCGTTATTTTGAAATTAAGCGTGGCAAAGTTTCCCGATGGATTTAGCTAAAAAAAGTGGTGCCTGTAGGGTTATTGAAAATCATACATGATGAAGAAAAAATACATATTCCTGAAATACAACAGTTTAATTTTGAGTTATAAACCATTTATGAAAACGGCATATTTGTCAAAATTACCAAAAGTTCAAGTGAGACGCGTGGCAAAATTTCCCAGGGGTCTAGAGTGGAAATATTTGTACCAAGAGTCAATTTGTAACTAGAATCTATCAGATGACAGATTTTTGGAAAATTTTGCAGATTTGGACAACCCTAACCTATAACTTTGTTGAACCTGAAGAAACGTATCAACTTTTTGTTAAATAAAGATAGCAAATTCAGCTGTCTACTGTACCTAACTTGTACTTTTTGCTAGTACTCAGATTGATGGATATCCTGTCGTATGACATGCGACAAACACCGGTGTAAAAGCGTAGGTGGTCCTATCAAATTATGGTCCTAGTCTCTATTGATTTATATGGTGACCTGATTACAATTATTTTCCTTATTATTTATACACAATCAGGGCTAGAAAGGGCCGTTAGGAAAGGGGACCATAATCCCCAGGGGACCATAATTTCTTTCACACCGGCTTTGTTAGTACTTTGCCTTGGATGTCATACAGTACATTTACACTGTGGCATGATTTTTAACTCATATCTTTCGTTATACCATACAAAATTACTTACTCCATGCAATGGATATATCATTTGCGGGTAACTTTCACTTCTGTTTGAAGTCCAATTACGCTCGGAAGAAAAGCTATTGAAAATGGCGCCGGCGTATCATACTTCAAAATGTACCACTTCTTGTTTAACTTTCTAATGGCACGATATAGTGACACGATGATATTTACAAATGGTTTCAGCATAACTATGAAGGTATAAATGAGATGTTGATGTATTTGGTCTTTTTAATTCTTTTATAAAAAATAATGTTTAATTTTTTTGTCCGCTGTGACGGAGCAGTTGCAAATGTAAACTGTGAAAATGCTCCGTCACAGCGGACAAAAAATATTAATATTATTTTTTATAAAAAAATTAAAAAGACCCAATGCATTAATATATCATTAATACATTCAGAGTTATGCTGAAAACATATGTTAATATTATCATGTCACTGTATCATGCCATTAAAAAGTTAAAAAAGAAATGGTACATTTTAGAGTTTGATACTCTGGCGCCGTTTTCAATAGATTTTACTCCTAGCGTTATTTGACTTCAAACAGAAGTGAAGGTTACACGCAAATGATATATCCATTGCATGGAGTAAGTAATTATCTTTGATATAACGAAACATATGAGTTAAATAATAAATCGTGAAGCATGTTTTTATGAAAAATAGCATGCTCCGTCACAGCGGACAAATCTTTCGATCCCTGCCTGTGTTGATAAAGGTAGATAGAAGTTTTATTTCAAAGGATGAATTTTAGTAAGCGTCCCATATTGTGACGTCATAGAGTTTGAAAAATAGAATCTGTTGACAACGACCTTTTTTGCTCATTTTTTGTTACCTTCAACTTTTCAGGTGTACATTAAACAAAAAATACGAGATCAATTTTTAATAAATCATACATGATTATTTTGCTCTTAAACTCTAGTTTATTAATAAATAGTTGATTTTGTTCGCAAAAGTATGTGTTTTTTGTTGTATGTGGAAAAGTGGAGGACGAAAGGTTTTCAAAATTCATTAAAATAGGGCAAATTTACGCCATTCGCCTATTTTCAAGCACAGCAACACGTATATTTGTTTCACCTAAAATATCTTTTTGCGACACGTCATAGAATTAAGCAAATAGTGTTATTATCATTTAAGTAGTAACTGCATATGTTTAAAACCACTCTGTTTAAATACAGGTAAATAAATAAATATGATGCAATGAAAATTGAAGCTTTCTGTCGAGAGCAATAGTCATCACAATAGTATAGCGTTTTTTCTTTTACATGTTACTTTTTGTACATCATTGATTGATCCGCTCTAATCTGCCCTCGGCCGATAATTTATAAATTATTTATGTTGAACATTAGCAAAACAGGATTCCAGATTTTATTGTGTTTCAAACCAGACACTTGGTTTCCTCACAAAATCAAATACAGGACAATTACATATAATTAAAGTTAAAAAGCAACATCTTCACAAACATTTAAATCATCAATTTCATGCAATCAGTTATAGTTATACTCCGTATGTATGCTAAACTTAAGACTGGTGTTAAGAATCGACCAAGGCAAACCTATGTAAAATTACACATCGATGAACAAAATGTTTTAGAATACAACTCCGCGTTTGTAGTCATAGACTCGGCGGGGCGTAGTGGAAGGTGACGGGACGTATTAGTCAAATTTTAAGAGATGTGTGGATGATTTAGAAACTGCTGCGTTTGATGCCCAAAAATCAAAACGTAGCGATGGAAGGTTGTAATGGGAGTCCATTCTGAAATTATGAGCGAGAATGGGTAAAAGACTGGCGAGATAACTTGACTTACAGTTGAAAGTTATGAAAATTTGCTTTATCTCGCAGCTGGGGACCAAAACGCCGCTAAAACGAGGTACTTTGTACACGAAAACAATGTATCGACTGAAAGGTATTTCCGTGAAGCTTTGTACGGAACAAGTTTGAAGAAAAATGGTGAAGTGTGAGACTCACAATCCTTGATTTTCAAACACTGGGGTAGGTTTTAAATTCAAATTAACGGTTTTTCGGGACGGAGTGGTTTCGATACGTCCCGAAGAGATCCTACCGCGTGTGTATATCGTGTTTATACTCGAGTGAGTATATAATATATTCACAAGTGAGCGTAGCGAACGAGTGAATATATTATATTCTCACGAGAGTATAAAATGCACGATATACAGAATGAACCATTATATAATCTTATTATGCCACTCTATAAGTACAATTACAGTTGATTCGAACACAATCATAACAATTAAAAACCATAAAAATATCCCATAGCCAACTCAATAATGCTGATGTTGATCTCGAACCATTTATGACGTGGCTTGATTCTAGGAAATCATGAAAATTTTCATGATTTTTCTTATTCATTAGTTCCCAGAATGCACTTCTACAGTGGTATACGCTGGAGTGTATACGGAGGAGTTGTATACGATGAATGACGATATACCACTCTCCACTGTATATCGTTGTTATAGACCCATGTTATACAACAGTAATTGGACTTAGAGTGGTATAAAACCCCTTATATAAAAGTTATATAATAATACAAAGTTTTTTGATCATTAAACTGGTAAATCTGAATAAACTTTGTAAAGAACTTGATATTACTTGCTTATACATTAAAACTAGTCAAGTGGAACAGGAACACCTTTGTATGTGGAACACCTTTACAGGTGGAACAGGAACACCTTTGTATGTGGAACACCTTTACAGGTGGAACAGGAACACCTTTACAGGTGGAACAGGAACACCTTTGTATGTGGAACACCTTTACAAGTGGAACAGGAACACCTTTGTATGTTGAACACCTTTACAAGTGGAACAGGAACACCTTTGTATGTGGAACACCTTTACAAGTGGAACAGGAACACCTTTGTATGTGGAACACCTTTACAAGTGGAACAGGAACACCTTTGTATGTGGAACACCTTTACAATTGAAACAGGAACACCTTTGTATGTGGAACACCTTTACAAGTGGAACAGGAACACCTTTGTATGTGGAACACCTTTACAAGTGGAACACTACATAGTCTCTAGTTTCATTGACATATAATGTTTATCAAACCTTCTGAGGTGGAACACTTTATAAGAGGAACACTTTTTAGGGGAACCAAGGTGTTCCACTTACAGAGGTTCTACTTATTGCACATGTTTTTCTGTTTTCCAGACTGGATGGCAAACTTACAAAGGAACAATACCTATTATCTATGATCCTATCAAAATATTGGACATGAACAACATATTTCAGATGTTGGAAAAGATGAGTGAAGAGGTAAGCTAATGTATCAATATTAAAAGACCCTGTGGAAATGAAAGTATTGACCCGTGGGAATTATGGGTCTCCCTTTTATATGACCCATATACAGTAGGCTAATATACTAGAAGACTGACTTGGAGCTGGATGGCTGAGTATAATTAAATAGAGTCAATATTAAGGGACCCTGTGTAAATGAAAGTATTGACCCGCTGGAATTATGGGTCTCCCTTTTATATGACCCATATAGGCTAATATACTAGAAGACTGACTTTGAGCTGGATGACTAAGTATAATTTAAATAGAGTCATATTGTAATTGTAACTAAAACTAAGATCCTTTGCCCCTCCTTCCTTTGTCTGGACTGTTCGATTCTTCAGAAAATAGTCATAAGATGGAATGAGAGAATTTTGACAATTTTTCAAGCCATTAAAACTTTCTTTCAACTTGTCTCTGGTCAATCTTGTCAATTTAAGTTTTATTCTCCTCACTGTCAAGTTTTCAGGTACATCTAATAGTATAAGCACTTGTCACCCGATTTCAGATCCCTGTAGAGGCCCCTTGGAAGGCTCCACATGCTGAGGAATGGGACAGTATGACAATGAAGGAATTCATGGACAAGCATTGCTGGACAGAGTAAGCATATACTTACTTGAATATGTCACACTGTACCTTTATGTCACACTTTATTTGAATATAAACCACATTTAGATAGCAACACAATAGAATGAACTGTCATTTATTTTTAAGAATAATCAGCTATAACAAAGTGGGGTGAATTATTTGTCTATTGTTTTTCAAAAATGAACACTTGTCAAGCTATCCAAAACCAGTGTGGCACAAAAGAAGATTGACTTTCACATGCTGTGCACTAAAGCTGAACTAACTATACCCTATTTACCCTTTCAATAGTTGAATTGTAAACACAAAAGAAATCAAACTTTAAACTCTACATACCCTTTTAAATGCAGTGCACTGAAGCTGAACTAATTACACCCACTCACTTCTCAATACACTTACCTCATAGTCAATACAAAAGAAATCAATTTTTCCTAAAATTGGATTATGGACCACTTACCTTTGAGTCAGAGTCAGTGCCCAGTGTGTGGTTTAAGTTAGATAAACAATTCATCTTGGGTCTTAGGAAAAAATAATGGCCTCGGGTCTTCGCCCTTGGCCATTATTTTTTCTAATCACCAAGACACATTGTTTATCCATTACATATATGTTAGACTTCATATATTAGACTTCATGTATTAAATATGTCACATTGTGCTTTATTTAATGTCACATTATATCTATATGTCACACTATACTTGAATTTATACTATACTTGAACTTTTATGTCACACTGCACTTGAATTTTTATGTCACAATACATCTGTCAGACTGTATTAAATATGTCACATTCTGCTTAACAATAAATTATAGTGAAATCAGCAAGGAAAATAAGTAAACTGAATACATGTACACATTTATTTATTATAGTCAACAATAAGGATAAATATTGTTTAAGGAAGCTCAAGTGGGGTCTTCAATTTACTAAAGGACAAAAAACAGCCCTTCAATACCTACCTTAACAAATGTAGCTGAAGTTTGTAACTTTGCAAAGCTTTTAGTTATTTGACCAGTCATGGGCCAATAGTGATGATTTCTCTATTGTTTTGTTTCTAATCTTCAATAACTGTCAGTGTCTTACTCCTCTCCCAATCAACTTGCGTTTTAGCAATCAAATGGTCATAAAACCTTAGGAATAGAATAATGTTGTGAGAGTTAAGACCCTATGCATGATTGAACTTGATGGATACAATATGACAGTACAGTGCAGCCAGCTAAATGAAGACACTCAACCTGTTTTGTAGTGAGACTTACAAACTACATACCATGAGATACATTCATCCTATTGTTAAGGGAAAAGGTGTTGGACTTCGGGGAAAAATCTGTTTGATGTGGGGTTCATCCTCCATTCAGTGTTCAGATGTGGAAATGTATATAACACTGGATGGGCCCGTATCCAGAATGTGTATAGAAAGTACTTTCAAAGCACTCTCACGCTTTACCTTTCCTAAATGCTGCATGAAGGATCAGCCTCACACCCAACATCTTGCCCCGCACCCAACTTTCACATATATGTGTTTGTTAGGTTCAGTAAGATTAACACAGCATTATTGTGTAAGGCCATTCTATGTTGTGAGGCTCATGAAGTGTCTGCACTCTACTTTATGTGGTATATCAAGTGTTATGTGGTTTTAGGTTCAATAAGATTAACACATCATATTGTGTAAGACCATTCTATGTTGTGAGGCACATGAAGTGTCTACACTCTACCTTATGTGGTATATCGAGTGTTATGTGGTTTTAGGTTCAATAAGATTAACACAGCATTATTGTGTAAGGCCATTCTATGTTGTGAGGCACACGAAGTGTCTACACTCTACCTTATGTGGTATATCAAGTGTTATGTGGTTTTAGGTTTAATAAGATTAACACAGCATTATTGTGTAAGGCCATTCTATGTTGCGAGGCACATGAAGTTTCTACACTCTACCTTATGTGGTATATCAAGTGTTATGTGGTTTTAGGTTCAATAAGATTAACACAGCATTATTGTGTAAGGCCATTCTATGTTGTAAGGCACATGAAGTGTTTACACTGTACCTTATGTGGTATATCAAGTGTTATGTGGTTTTAGGTTCAATAAGAATAACACAGCATTATTGTGTAAGGCCATTCTATGTTGTGAGGCACATGAAGTGTTTACACTCTACCTTATGTGGTATATCAAGTGTTATGTGGTTTTAGGTTTAATAATATTAACACAGCATTATTGTGTAAGGCCATTCTATGTTGTGAGGCACATGAAGTGTTTACACTCTACCTTATGTGGTATATCAAGTGTTATGTGGTTTTAGGTTTAATAAGATTAACACAGCATTATTGTGTAAGACCATTCTATGTTGTGAGGCACATGAAGTGTTTACACTCTACCTTATGTGGTATATCAAGTGTTATGTGGTTTTAGGTTCAATAAGATTAACACAGCATTATTGTGTAAGACCATTCTATGTTGTGAGGCACATGAAGTGTTTACACTCTACCTTATGTGGTATATCAAGTGTTATGTGGTTTTAGGTTCAATAAGATTAACACAGCATTATTGTGTAAGACCATTCTATGTTGTGAGGCACATGAAGTGTTTTCACTCTACCTTATGTGGTATATCAAGTGTTATGTGTTTGTTAGGTTCAATAAGATTAACACAGCATTATTGTGTAAGGCCATTCTATGTTGTGAGGCACATGAAGTGTTTTCACTCTACCTTATGTGGTATATCAAGTGTTATGTGCTTGTTAGGTTCAATAAGATTAACACAGCATTATTGTGTAAGGCCATTCTATGTTGTGAGGCACATGAAGTGTCTACACTCTACCTTATATGGTATATCAAGTGTTATGTGGTTTTAGGTTCAATAAGAATAACACAGCATTATTGTGTAAGGCCATTCTATGTTGTGAGGCACATGAAGTGTTTACACTCTACCTTATGTGGTATATCGAGTGTTATGTGGTTTTAGGTTCAATAAGATTAACACAGCATTATTGTGTAAGGCCATTCTATGTTGTGAGGCACATGAAGTGTCTACACTCTACCTTATGTGGTATATCGAGTGTTATGTGGTTTTAGGTTCAATAGGAATAACACAGCATTATTGTGTAAGGCCATTCTATGTTGTGAGGCACATGAAGTGTTTACACTCTACTTTATGTGGTATATCAAGTGTTATGTGGTTTTAGGTTCAATAAGATTAACACAGCATTATTGTGTAAGGCCATTCTATGTTGTGAGGCACATGAAGTGTCTACACTCTACCTTATGTAGTATATCAAGTGTTATGTGGTTTTAGGTTCAATAAGATTAACACAGCATTATTGTGTAAGGCCATTCTATGTTGTGAGGCACATGAAGTGTCTACACTCTACCTTATGTGGTATATCGAGTGTTATGTGGTTTTAGGTTCAATAAGATTTACACAGCATTATTGTGTAAGGCCATTCTATGTTGTGAGGCACATGAAGTGTCTACACTCTACCTTATGTGGTATATCAAGTGTTATGTGGTTTTAGGTTCAATAAGATTAACACAGCATTATTGTGTAAGGCCATTCTATGTTGCGAGGCACATGAAGTTTCTACACTCTACCTTATGTGGTATATCAAGTGTGGACAGGGCTTCCATAGACTCATCAGCATCACAAACGGCTCACAGGTAAGTACTAGTAGGTATACTATGTAAACATACATGCTGGTTCTGTAGTTAAACATTTTGTATAAGATTGTAAGTAATTTTGTACCAGTTGGACTAAAACCCTATGTACCAGTGTGCTGATGATACTCTAAATGTTAAAATAGCTAAATTAGCACAAGTTATTTAAAGATTGTGAATTGGATCTTAAAGTGTAAAATTTTGGCTTTGTTCACCAAACTGTGACTTAACTGTCCTTCCTGACCCATCAGTGACCTTTGTCCAATTAACCCTGAATCTCCTTAGCTTCTGTGGTGCCTGCAGTAGTAATTTATATGCTTTCTTCCACCTAGTCTTGTTAAAAGTGGAAGAATGCCTTTGGTATGTCCTAAAAGTGTTCCATGTAAAAATGTTTATAAGTGTACTTACAAATGTTCAAACAATGGGTCATGGGATTTTGCAGTTGTGCACTTACAGCTAGATGTTCATAACTTCTTACAATGGGTCATGGGATTTTGAAGTTTTCCACTTACATATCTTCATACAATGGCTCATGGGATGTTGAAGTGTTCTTATTCCAGAGGAGCTCTTCTTCTACTCTAAATATAATGCACTTACATTCCTCTGCTCATTTACCCATAATGCCCATGCTTTGTATGCGATGGGTTTTCATCTTACAGTTGTGACTTTCCTTGGCAAGAATGTATATATTAAATATATAAAAGTAAATAAAAATTACAAAAATGCATGCCATTAAAGATTATATATTTATTCATTTTTATATGAACACTAATATTATCTATCTTAATCCATTGAGTGTATACAGTTTACTTTATAACCTTCCTGATTTTACTCTCATACTTACATCATGAGGTAAATTTTTTTCCATCAACAGAAACAATAAAATATGTCCATATTATATAATGCATAACTCTAACAGTATCACTTGTGAATATTCCAGTTTTAAGCCCTGGACTCAGTGCAATGTTTAATGACCATTCCTTGAAGGTGTTGTTTCCAAAATTTGGACGAAATGCGCATCAAGTGTTAATTTTAGAAAACAATGTCTGAAAGGAATGGTTCGTGATTGGTAATATAATGCATTGCACTTATATGAAATACTGTGTTCAGATTGGCTGGAATTGGACACACCTTGCGAGTGAATTATTTACCATTTGTTGAGGAAAATCTCAAAATCATCAGGCCCTTACCTTTGGCCAGTTGACAATGTTTCATTGACACATTGATACACATTCAATTTATATTTCAAAAGCAAGAATATTCTTGTTTAACAGTTGCCATTTATAAAAATGTATAAAAGTTTAATATTGTGAATGATACATCTCCCATCTTACTTGCCCTAGCACTCCACATTGTTCTACCACATTGAATGACTTGGAACCAATTATTTCTGACTAAGGGAAAGTTAGACCCTTGGTATGGGCTTGAAGAATAATATCTTATCAAAACATTTTTTTATTCTGGGCATTTATTCCAAATTTTAGATTTGCAAAGGAAGTATTGACTGCAGCTACAAAATCAATTAATTGCAATGAGCTACATGAGGTATCTCTTCTTTATAACCTTTTGGGGTTGAAATCTGGAGGAGGCATAATAAGAATAACATCCATAGAAAATGGAGCTCAGGTAAAAATAATGACAGGTTGTATTCCTATAGCCCATGTTAAAGACATGTGTATGTACTATAAGAGGCCATTGCTTGAACACCAGTTGTCCTCATTCATCATTTATGAACATTAATTGTTGTCTTTGAACATTCATCATTCAACATTTATAATCTCTGAACAGTAATTGTTTCTGAACATTAATCATATATGAACATTAATTTTTTTCTGAACATTCATCATATATGAACATTTATTTTTTCTGAACATTCATCATATATGAACATTAATTGTTTCTGAACATTAATCAAATATGAACATTAATAATAGTCCTTGAATTTTTTATTGTCTATTAACATTCATTAAGTAATGACCTTTGATAGCAAGTCGCTACTACTGCCTTTATGGCTCGGGGGTAGAGCATCTGTCTTGTGAGCAGGGGGTTGAATTTAGCACATTCCCTTTCAAGTCTTGTATCTGGCTTGATGAACAACAGATCACCGGACGGACGTGCCCAATGGTCGTGACAAATATTTGTGAGATTCATTGTCTGTCTTCATTCAATGGTTATGAACATTTGTTGTCTACTGTACAAATATTAATCGTTCATGAAATTCACTGTTCATGGCATTCATTGTCTACTAACATTCATTTGATAACATTCATTGAAAGATTCTATATCAATGACATCCAGTGTAGGAACATGTCGTTACTTTATCCTTGCACGTTACATAGTTACTATTTTATATACATGTAATGTACATGCACTTATAATGATCATTTTTCCTCTTCCTGCTTCCTCTCTCCAGATTTGTTCATATCCATTATGTTCAAGACTGCTATTGTTTGATTGCTTGTTTGCTTATTTGTTAGTTTGTTTGTTTATTCAAGTTGTATGCTTATTTATTTATTTATTTATTTATTCAATGTTTCCTTAATTGGTGAAGGTTTGTTGCTTTTTTAGCAGTGTTTATTATTGTTTTTATTTATAGGTATATAGGCTATAATAAGATATTGGGATATTGTGAAGGAAAATATTGATATTAACTGAGGCAGCAGGAAGGGGCTGAAGAAAGATATCAGTATTTTCCCCATGGATATATCTATCGATTATCTATTCATATTGTATTTATTCTATATTCTGATTTCTAGACCCCTGCAACACTTCAGATGATGTGATTTAATCACAAAAATACTAATCTTAATATTCTTTTGCATACATGTATATATATTTATTTTATTTATACATTGGATTTAATGTAAATATTTTAACTTTATAATTTGATCATATTAAAAACTTTGTTTACACTACATGAGGTACCTCACAACCCATTTAAAATCATGACAAATTAAGATATATTTATGGTCGTATTAAAAACGGCAAACATGTACTCAAAAAGTATAAAATCCTGGAGAGAATGCTGATTATCGATACTCTATTTAAGGAGAGGAAACTGATCGGGGGACTTTCAACACTGCTGGAGAGAATGGCAGAGACTCTAGGGGACAAAGTCCTGCTGTCACATCCTGTCAATCGTATTGAACAGAGAGAAAGTATTGCCAGGGTCTATTGCGAGAATGGAGAAATGTATGAGGTACATACAATAAGCTTTTAAGAGGTCTTTTAATGTAGTATCAGATCTGTAGTTATGTCCTGTCAATCGTATTGAACAGACAAACAATATTGTCAGGGTCTATTGTGAGAATGGAGAAATTTATGAGGTACATACAATAAGCTTTTAAGAGGTCTTTTAATGTAGTATCAGATCTGTAGTTATGTCCTGTCAATCGTATTGAGCAGACAGAAAATATTGCCAGGGGCTATTGCAAGAATTGAGAAACATATGAGGTACATACAATAAGCTTTTAAGAGGTCTTTTAATGTAGTATCAGATCTGTAGTTATGTCCTGTCAATCGTATTGAACAGACAAACAATATTGCCAGGGTCTATTGTGAGAATGGAGAAATTTATGAGGTACATACAATAAGCTTTTAAGAGGTCTTTTAATGTAGTATCAGATCTGTAGTTATGTCCTGTCAATCGTATTGAGCAGACAGAAAATATTGCCAGGGGCTATTGCAAGAATTGAGAAACATATGAGGTACATACAATAAGCTTTTAAGAGGTCTTTTAATGTAGTATCAGATCTGTAGTTATGTCCTGTCAATCGTATTGAACCAGACAGAAAATATTGCCAGGGGCTATTGCAAGAATTGAGAAACGTATGAGGTACACATCTGTTATTGCCATCCATAATTTGTGTTTTCGTGATTGCAAGTAAATTGCTGGCATTTTCTAAAATGCTCTCTGGTAGACACTTAAACAAATGATTCTTTTAATGTCAATTCAGTTGTATTGTTTTATCAATTAGAAAAGTAAGTTCATACTCTGATTAATGAAACATTAATGTAAGGTGTGTTTAATCTGAGAAAATGTGGACGCAATCTTGAAACAATAAAGTTAAAAATTACATGTTTGGTTGAGATTTGGACAAAACATTTTAACATTGTGTTAAGCATTGATGTCTGAAACTTCATATTGGACTCATGAACTCACTTTTTTCTTTGTATTTCTCATACATTGTAGGGTAAACATGTGATCAGCAGTATACCTCAAGCGCTACTAAATAGAGTGAGATTTGTTCCACCGCTGCCACCAATGAAACTACAATTAATACAAAGGATCCCAATGGGTTCAATAATAAAAACCATGATGTTCTACAAAACAGCATTCTGGAGAGACATGAGTAAGTAGAACACTGATTTATATAGAAACTTAGACTGCAGTGCAATGCCTTAGGGCATTAAGATAAGCCATCCATTAATTTGTATATCTGTCCATCCCTCTCTTCCTTCTTTGTCAAGGTGATAACTCAAATCCCACTCGTCAGAATGGATGCTTAAATTAAAGCTGTTTTTAAACACAATTTCTTAAACAAGGGCTGAAGAGAATTCTCTACTCTTAATAAGAAGATAGCTTAACCCTTCGCAGTGATGATAAACTTTCAAATTTAAGTGGCCAGGCTAAAAAAGATGTGGCTTCATCTATACTACTAAACTACCCTAACTAAATCCAGGGTTACAAATGTGTTACCATGTGGTAACAAAAAATAAGGGGACATGCAAAGGTTAATTGTCTGCCTTAATGATTATTTCTTCTAGATCTAAGTGGCCAGGCTGTAAGTCATGATGGGCCAGTTGGGTACACAATGCCGGATGACTTTGCGGAGGAGAAGAATAGCACACCTGCCATCATGGGCTTTATTCTGGCCAATGAGAGCAGGGATATGTGTGACATGTCTAAAGAGGAAAGGTGTGTGAATGCAATAGCACTTTGTTTTATCCAGTAATACATCATCCATATTTCCATGAAATAAATACGCTTCTAATGTGACCAAGTCAGCTTCTTTAACCCTTTCCCAACGTGAATATATGAGGAAATGTTGGCCTGGTGACTGATAAGTAAGAGCGGTTTTTAGCTAAAAACTGGAAATGATGTATACCCGGGACCTATTCTTTAAATTTTATCACTAAAATACAATTTTAACAAGCAATATCACATGTCAACAACTAGTCAAAATCTGGTGTAAAAATACTGAATAGAACTGGAGACATTGTCATTTCATTGATGTATGGAAATAAAAATAGTGGTCCCAAAAGGAGCCTATCGTCCTGAAAGGTATTACGTAATAGGGCTCCATATGGAGCCTATCGTTGTGAAAGGGTTAGATTAAGCACTACCACATCAAACATAGAACATTTGATCAAATACAATTTTACATATTATATGTTACATGTACTTCCATATTCCAGGAAGAATGCCTTATGTAAACATTATGCCAAGCTGTTCAGGTGTGACAAGTTCCTGGAACCAATCTACTATGTAGAGAAGAATTGGATGGAGGAAGAATTCTCTGGGGGCTGCTACGTTAGCTCAATGCCTCCTGGGGTCCTCACAAAATATGGCAAGTAAGTCACATATTCTCTGTTAGATGCTACGTCAGCCCAATGCCTTCTAGGCTCCTCACAAATTCACATACAGTATTCTCTCTGGGCTGCTAAATTTTTAGCTCATTGTCCATTTTACCTGAATCTGGTCTTACAATTTATATCAATGTGTCTCTGATATTGTCACATTCTTTGGATAACACTATCATGTATCTATTTCAGATATTTGAGGGAACCTGTAGGAAAAGTGTATTTCGCAGGCACAGAAACGGCAACATATCACAGTGGTTACATGGAGGGTGCTGTCCAATCAGGAGAGAGAGCTGCGAGAGAGGTTTGTTGTTACCATAGTAATAACTAGTTGTAACATCTTCTTTGGATGAATTGATGATTTTTGAAAGTAGATTTTCTGAAATTGATAAATTATACCCAATGATCCAATTTCCAATTAAATCACTGATAAAAATCTCAGTTATTTTTTAAATAAACAGTCTACCTTTTCTGTTTTGTGTAGGGTTAACCCAACTAATTGTTATAACATGCGTATTCCCATACAAACAATCTGTCTTCAAGAGAAAACTAAGATTTGTGGACATGTTTTGCTATCATTGCATCATACCCCAGTATGTCCTCTGTCAGTCAAAAAAGTTTGAATCAAAACTCCCCACGAAAATCAAAAGATCTCACCTGTTGAAGACGCCATCTATAGAAAATGTCAAAAAATGTCATTCTGATTTTGACAGATGGAGGCAGGTCAAAAAGGTCAAATTTTTAAAAGAAAATGCACCTTAATCACATCAAATCATGTCTCAGAGTTGGTCCACACATACACTTTTCCATTCATGTACTTACCAAAATCCAACCACTGGTGATGCTAATGTAATTACAATAATTGGACTATATTTTTGTTTTTATAATGCCATCTATTCGTCTTCCCACTCGGCGGAAGGATCTAATGGTTGTGTGTCTCCTAATAGGGTTAACCCAACTAATTGTTATAACATGCGTATTCCCATACAAACAATCTGTCTTCAAGAGAAAACTAAGATTTGTGGACATGTTTTGCTATCATTGCATCATACCCCAGTATGTCCTCTGTCAGTCAAAAAAGTTTGAATCAAAACTCCCCACGAAAATCAAAAGATCTCACCTGTTGAAGACGCCATCTATAGAAAATGTCAAAAAATGTCATTCTGATTTTGACAGATGGAGGCAGGTCAAAAAGGTCAAATTTTTAAAAGAAAATGCACCTTAATCACATCAAATCATGTCTCAGAGTTGGTCCACACATACACTTTTTCATTCATGTACTTACCAAAATCCAACCACTGGTGATGCTAATGTAATTACAATAATTGGACTATATTTTTGTTTTTATAATGCCATCTATTCGTCTTCCCACTCGGCGGAAGGATCTAATGGTTGTGTGTCTCCGTAATAGAATATGGTTTAAGAACAAGGGGTCCTCTTAGAGACCCCTTCTCTGAAATGAGTATCTATGGTTATGCAGATCCTCCATACTTTAGGGCAAGATCTCTAGATATGAATATGTTATAAGGGGACCCCTATAAGAGACCCCTCGTCTAAAATGATTATTACTTTTATGTAGATCCTCCATGTATTGGGCAAGATCTCTAGTGATGAGATATGGCAAGATGAGCCTTATCCTGGTGTCATACCTGAGAATCCAGTTGAGAAATTCGCTATAGAGGGCTACCTGCCTTCAGTGGGAGGATTGCTGAAGTTCCTAGGGGCAACAGCTGTCGTGGGAGTAGGAGTAGGTGTCTGGATAGTGAAAAATGCTTTTTCAAAATTTTAAAGGGGAAGCACTGCCAATGCACAATCAAATAGCTGTAATCATACCAATGGTTATTTCATTTTACTAGTCTGGCAGGATTTGCATCTTGGCTTATAATTCTCTAATTGATTGTCTTGGATGAAGAATTCACTGGCGATTCTTTTCTTTATACAAATATGGTGATTTTTTGAGTTTGAATTATGAGCCAAGTTCAAAATAGCATGGAAGAAGAAGTACATCATACTTATTGCCTCACTTCCTAAAATGCAGTTAAATCCTAGCCAATGACAAAGTGAAAAGAATGCTTCAATAATAAAATAACGACCCATGACATGGTGGTTTGTGTGGGACTTTAATGATTGTTTCCCAAATGGATATTGTAATAAATCAATTTATATATGAGAAACCCACTTTATTTGCTCACTACTGAGCAAAATATTTTATAGTGTACTAAAAGGGCTGAATATAATAGACTTGATATGCACATCAAATAACCTTAAATTAGACCTGAATTAGCCAACTGGTGGTGAAACCAGTAACTACCTGCTGGCATCTTGATTATTTATGATGTTTTCATCTAGAATTCAGATACATGCTCTACTAGACCAAAAATACAATGTATATATAGTTAAAACAGGGTTAAATACTTATATATATATACATGAATATTATGTGGTTTGGTGGAGTACTGTAAAAACATCTTAAGACAATAGAGACAATGCATTTATCTTTTCTTAAAAGTTTATTGGGTGTTAAAAAATCAACAGCAACACCAGCAGTCTATGGAGAATTAGGACGTTACCCATTAAAAATACGTTTTGAAATTAAGTTAATTAAATATTGGCTCCGTTTAATTCATCTATCACCTGGAAACATTCTTCATAAAACATATACGCATGACCGTGAAATGAGCCAACTGGGTTTTAAAGGCACTTGGTCAAACAAAATCACTGATATTTTGAAAAAATGTGATTTATTCTCATATTGGGAAACTCAAAAGATCGATGATGATAATATTTTTATCAAGATGATAACAAAAAAACTGTATCAGAATTATAAGTCTCAGTGGCAGAAAGATATTTTGAAATATCCTGTTTTAAGAACTTACATAACATTCAAAAATGTCTTTGAAAGAGAGGGTTATTTAAATATACAAAATAGAAATTACAGACAAGCAATAAGTAGATTTAGGCTTAGTTCACACAAATTACATATAGAAACTGGTCGTCATTTGAAGCCTAAGCCAAGACCTGTGGATGAACGTTTATGTAATATGTGTGGTATTTTAGAAGATGAACAACACTTTATCATGGTGTGTAAGAAAAATACAACAGAAAGAAAACTTTTGTTTGACACCCTTACGCAATTTAATTTTGTAGGAAGTCCTAACTTTATTTTCAAAAAGCTTTTGTCTCATAAAAATTCTTATGTAATTTTACATCTAGCAAAGTTCATTTATCATTCATTCAAAAAACTTGATTAATATTGTAACAATGATACATCACACTGATGTTTTAAATTCTGTCATGTTGTATCTGTATTTTACAATTATCTCATTTTTGTACTTTACATTTTGTGATGCTGTAATTGTATTTTACAACTTTGTATATTTCCTATGAAGTAGTTAGTTTAGTCTTAGTTTAATTTTGTATATTGTAGTGACTAATATGTCATTGCAATGACATCAGAGAGTCAATAAAAGATATATATATATATGTAAACCAAAAATGTTTTTTTTTAATTTTGGTAAATTGATTACATGTCTTTCTTATATTTAAGGAATAAAGACAGAGATTTTTTGATTTATGGCGTAATATCTGACTAAAAAATTTATTCTGTTCATTGTTAAAAGACCGCAATCGCATAGACATAAATCATAAAATCGAGGTTTTTGTTACGATTCTAATATGATAAACAGACAAGAAACACAACTATTTGCATTTATAAACTTAAGTAGTCATACATACTCCAATATAGACCAGTAAATCAATTGTTCTAGCTATTGTGACGTCATGTATCATATTAGAATCTGTATTATAAATGCAAATATATACATTGGTGAACTAAAACTTACCAATTTTAGTCTTAAGTTTTATATTGCTTATACTACTATTTTATATAGCTTATACAGTACTCCTATTTTATATTGCTTATACCAATTGAGTATTGTTTAATATAGAATAATTATGTGCAATGAAATATATTTATGTTTATTATGTATAATAAAGAACATGATTTATGTATATTGAAGTATAATTATGTACAATTAAGTATAACTATGTACTATGATAAAGTATAATTATGTACAATAAGATACAACATGTACAGTAAAGTATGATTATGTACAATGCGTACATTTATGTCCAATGAAGTATGATTATTATAGACAATGGAGTTTAATTATGTGCAATTAAGTACAATGTATAATTATTTTCAGTGAAGCATGATTATGTACAATAAAATATAATATTATGTACACTGAAGTATAATTATGTACAATGAAGAATAATTACATACAGTAAAATACATTAATGAAGTATAATTATTTTCAATGAAGCATAATTATGTATAAAAAATATGATAATGAACACTAAAGTATAATTATGTGCCATGAAGAACATTTAATCCAATGATGTATTATTATGATATACAAAGAAGTGTAATTTTCAATGAAATTATAATTATGTGCAGTACGTATATCATTTATGTACATTGAAGTATAATTATGTACAATGAAGTATATTTAATCCAATGAAGTATGATTATTATATTCAATGAAGTATAACTATGTACAATGAAGTACATTTAATCCAATGAAGTATGATTATTATATACAATGAAGTATGATTATGTACAATGAAGTATCATTATCAGCATTAGACTCTAGACATGCAGTACTATTATTGGTTGATAAGTTAATTACAAAGCAATCATAATTCTGTCAAATAGTCCTTTACATCAATCAAACAACATATAGGTCAGGGGCGTAGCCAGCAATTGTCAAGGGGTTGCAACTTTCTGGGTTTGCATCACTGTGAGCAAAGAAAGCCCCCAAAAAGGGGTGTATGGGGGTTCACCCCTGAAATATTTTGAATTGACATTGTATATGGTGCATTCTAAGCATTTCAAACTACAATTTGTTGGATTCTTTATTCCTGTTAAATACATTCAAATACTAGTATACAACATATAGGCTGCCAAAGTTAAAACCATTGGTGGCAGTTTGTTAATGACTTTTACAATCACACCCCTGTCTCAATCATGCAGGTATATGATAGTGGGTCAAAAAGAATGTAGACCATAAGACATGTGCCTGTGGAAAGCATTGAACATGTAAAAGATAAAGAAAGTGCATTAGTATTTTGAAATAAGAGGGAATATTTACAAAATATTTGTTTATTCTTTTATTCTTTTTTATTTTATAAGAGATTGTTTTCTGTAAACATACTAAACAACTATTTTAAAACATACCTGATTTTTTGTTTGTATGTATAATTTTAGTTTGAATTTGAAAACAAATATGTTATGTAGAACATCAAGTCAAAATGTACAATATGTGATGTTTTTAATACACTAAATAAAAAAATATGTCCATAAAAATAATTTGTCAAAGCTTTCCTTTAAAGTGACCCCACTAAGTAAAAGTAACATTTATCATGAACTATGAAACTTACCTTCTTTCTGAAAATATCATACTTTGAAAAACATTTACCTGAAACCAATCTTTTTATCACCCTGTCAAAATACGATTCAGTAAAACCTGTCAGATCCGATGGAACAAATGCCGGACAATATTGTTAAGATTATAGTATGTGTTCACAATTTGAGGTTTTTAGCAATGCTGATCTATCAATATATTGCAGATTAAAGCAGTGAGACTGTTGAAGTGTTCACAGAGGTGTTTGAAAATAAAGGTTTTGCTGTACTTTATTCTTGCAATGATAAATTAATCAATAAGATAATGTTGTTGTTTTTTTTTATTTCAAACATGAGTTTCAAAATATTTAGAGGCAGAATCAGATCCATATATTGTAGTATCCACTTTCGGGTATTTCATACAAATAGCTAATATGACCAGGAATGATATGAACCAAAAAATGTTCTAAAATTGAAACAATTTTTTTGTAAGCTTACTCGCTAGATCTGATACTCCCTTTAACTAGACTGAACGACAATATATTCTGACACGTGCCATAAGCATCATTCATGTTTCCATGGCAACTGCATCCCTAAGGTAGATTTTATTGAACAGATGCCAGACTTTGACTTTCCATAATGATGAGCGTTGCTAAGTGAAACAAAATTTAGCATAACATAATTTGAAACTAAAATCTATACCCTTTCACACTGCTTGTGTATTTGAAGTGTTTTATAAGATCTAATTATATGTCATATTAAATCCACACTTTTGTATTGTTACTAGTTTTCAACACCACTTGTTGAACATTAAAACAAATGCACCCCACAATTGGTAGAAGACATTTATCAAAAACTAAATATGAATTTTACAGTACAGACGCATTTTGGAATTGTTTTGGTCAGCGATGAGCAGTTTGGATTGTCATTGTGCTGAAATTAGCTGGTTGCATTCTGCCATTTACGTTCTTATAAAACACAATACAACGCGGTGATTGTTCTGACGGCGCAGACGTTTGATTGTGCAATGGATGAGGCCTCACTACATATAATGAAGTATTACATACCCAGCGAAGCATTTGTATTGAAGTCAATGGAGCTGAAGGTCGGCTATATATTCCTGTATAGCCGCCAAACCATTTACCATGCCAATCTTATGACGTCATCGGGACGTCATGTTTCATTTCTACTTAATTTCACTCGCACACAGACACGTGGCGTCATTGATATAACGTAGCCATGATAT